GGGGGGGATCGAAAAATGTAACACCTTTAACCATCTCGCACCCTCTGGAAATTTTGTTTAAAACCATTCTTAAAGGGAGTGTACGTGAAAAATAATAGGGGTATAGGCTTACGGCGAAAAAATAATCGCGTTTGATCGCGTCTAATCTTACTTCTATCTGTTGCGTCTATAGAGAGAAAATTGTTATTAACGACTCCCACCGATGAACGTAGCGTCCATTCAAATTCAGAAAGTCGCAATATTCGACTTGGATAAAAAAAAATCAATTTAATTTCAAACAAATCATTCAGATGAAAATCATCATTTATTTTTCGGCGCATTCGTATATAGTTAATATTTCATAATATTTTTTATTCGTTTTGTACACAATGCACTTAAAACGCCGAAATAGTTGGCAGCCAGATGTCTCTGCTCTTTATACTTTGAATGATTAAAAATGGCAGGGACACCTAGCGGAAAAAAGTCGTTTTCAGAACTAATATAGCGAGCTGTTTTACAAAGCTGCATATATTAAACATTTTCATGCGATTTTTCTTAACTTAAAAGCAAAAAACAGGAAAAATAAGTTTTATTTCTACATAGCCACAGTTCAAATGAAATAGTTAATATTGTTTTTAATTTATAAAAAATTTGGAAAATTCATTATTCTGCCAAAATAGCAGATAAACAGTTTTATAATAGAATTTTTATTAAAAATAGCAAGTCTTGCAAGTTATCCTATAATTAAGAATTATAAAATAAATGCGAATATTCTTTTTATATATTATATTGCTAGTTAGCTGAAGTGCCCGGCGTTGCTCGTGGAATTTTGAAAAAAAAGTAGAACAAAAGTTTTAATTTAAAAACAAGCGCTTTCTAATTTTTTAGCCTAGGGGTACCCATACATTTATAAAAAAAAATCAGCATATTAGATCCAGCCGTTTGGCCAGCCATAGCTAACGTATATATAGCTTGGGAACCCAGCGCTGCCAAGGTTACTAAAAGTTTAATCCGCCGTTTACCTGCACTTTAACGATTTTACCGGGAAACTAATTTTGACTTAGAATCTCAAAACCAAGCCAAGAACAATCTTGTGTGTCTCCCGAATTCCCCAATCAAAATTTGAGGCAAATCGGTCCAGGGGTTCCTGAGTTATGATCGGATAAACAAACAGACAGACAATCAGAGATTACAATTTTATTTATATATATAGAGAGATTAGCGAAGAGTGTTATTATATAGATTGATAGAGCACTCTTGATAATGATAATCACAAAATAAAAAAGGAAATATTAAATGAATTTGGATTCTGTTTTTTTATCTGCTCCAGGATTAGGATTTGGGTCTTTAAAAGGAAATGTAACCTAAGCATCGAATGGAAATATTTTATCAATTTCTTAAAATTTTGAAAGTCATTTTTTTCATTATATTTATTTTTAGGTACCGAAGATCCAATCCACCTTGACGAGGAGTTTGAAGAGGAGGAGGAAGGAGCAGAAGCCATTGTTGAAGAAGAAGATGACATTGAAGAAGAACTTGATGATGATTATGTTCCAATAAACTCTAAAGGAACAAGAAGGAAACCTCGAACAAGAGGAGTTAAAAAGCAATTGCCAGGTACTCTTTTTTTATTTAATATGTTTAAACTTTATAAATATATAATTGTCCGGTCTCTGACCTTTAAGGCCTCGATCTTTGTTAATTTCTAGTTTTTAAATTGAATTGTTTAAATCTATTAATACTAGAAATTCAAGGCGCTTCGCGCCCTTCTTTCTAGCCTTAGAGGGCGCTTCGCGCCCATCTTCTAAATTAATTGTAAACATGTTCTCTTTGTGTACATCGTAAAACTAAACAAAAATAATTCGCGGATTTTTACAAAAAATTTCGCGGATTTTCAAAATTTTAAAAAATTTAATGACGATCGAATTTTGATAGAGACAAATATTTGAAATTTTGATGATTCATAAACCTTCCCTGGGCTCCCTAGACGTCCCACAAAAAATTTGGGCCCGATCGGTTCAGCCGTTTTGACGTTTATTGGATACAAACAAACAAACAGACAAACAAACAGACAGACAAACAAGCCAAATTTATATATAGATTATTATTATTATATTTTATAATATTATATTGGGAAAAATCACAGAGTTTAAACTGCTGTTCAATAGTTAACTTGCATAATGCTTTTAAAAACATAATTTTTGAGATTTGAAATGTTAAATATAAATAACTTTTTCTCAGGGATATTGGGCTGGGTTACCCACTAAAGATAAAACTTCAGAGACGCCGTACGGAAATTATTCAGTCCTTATTTAACATCAATTATTCTTTGCAACTTGATTTTCTTTTGACAAATCTATATTTTAAAAACATTTGAACAAATTCACCTGCTTGTCGTATTTAAACAGTTTAAGGTCTTCATTAATGCCCCATCCTGTGTGTGTAACTCTCTATCGGAATGTAGAATATTTAATCATTTAACATAGAACAAATTGTGAAAAATTAGAAAACTACGGATGCACTTTGTTAAATTCCCGGAGTCTTCACTTTAAATTCTTGACCTGTTCCTTTTAATAGGTTTAAATATTTCCAGGTGTATTTACTGAACTGGATGAAACTGAATATATTAAGCTTGAACCTTCACTTGTGAAGTTGGAGGTAGGCCTCCTGATTTATCACACGAATCAGAGCGCTTTGTGCCCCCTCGGTTAGCTAGTCTCAATCGTAGTATTTTAACGGGGTATAAATTCACTAAAAAAATATTTTCCTTCACAAAATTGGACGTTTTTAGAATGTTTTTTCTCGTATTTTTCTTAGGAACAAAGCGTTAAAAATAATGTTAAAAGATTTACCAAAGCATTTTGTGCGTTTTTAAAGCCGCTTATCTTAATATATCATTGAATTTAATATTTCATATTATAGGTCCTTCATCATTATACATTTATGCATTTATATTCTCTACTATCTTGGAAATCCAGCATTGCCTATTAAAGTCTACCCATTCACCTTAGATTTTTAAAACTCAGCCAAGAATATTCCCATGGTTCAACCCAGTTACACAGTTCAAAATTTGAGGCAAATCGGTCTAGGGGTTTCTGAGTTATGATCGAACATACAAACAAACAAACAAACGGAACATTTGTAAAAAATGTTCTAGAAAGCTGAACTAGAAGAGAAAGGACGGGATGGTAAGGGGTTATCTTGTCCTGACTGTGAACAAGTGTTCTCTGCTGAATCTCAACTAAAAATACACTTTCAAGAAAATCATCTTAACGAGGTATGTTAGCATTATTATATAATTAGATATATTTAAGATAATCTCTTCCTTTAACTATATAAATCAAGAAAAAGTTTATTTTTAAGTTAGTTAGAAAAATGCTGACATTCTGTAATCTGCATCATTCCCCCCNCCCCCCCAAGTTATGTATGTTTGCGTCATAATTCTTTTAGAGTTTTATTAGGTGAATTGGGAAAATAAATGAATTGAATGGAAAAATAGATTACGTATTGGGTTAAATGTATCAAAAGAAGATAATACTTGCCCAAATTTAAATTTTTTCCCATCAAATTATCAAACTCATTTTGATTCTGAAAAATATACAGTATTAACTCCTGATCTGTATTTGAATAGAACAAAAATATTGCAGGAGGAAAATAGCATCAAAATGAATGTTAGAGTGAGATATGCGCAAAATGCCATTTTAATTTAATATTTTTGGGGGCAAATATTACAGAGAGAACTTAAGCTGCATTATTTGTTCTTCAAACACTTTCAAGGCAAAGGAGAAAAGTTTGAAAAAGGAGAAAAAAATTACCCTTAGGAGTGTTCATATAGCTCTACTGTTAATACGCCACTGGGCCTTACTACTGTACTGAACAGTGTACACAGTCACATCTCCCACTTGGTTTTATTTAGATAGAGAAACACCGATGTTTTCTGTGCGGGATGAGTTTTCGGAAATCGTTCAATGTGAAAAGCCACATTTTAACAGTTCATAGAAGAAGGCGGGACTATAAGGTGAGCTATTTGATACTTTTGTCAGAAAATTCGTCTGAAAATGAGTTTTATTTGGCTCATGTGTTCCTAATTTTCTGATTATCTGCGTGTTTTATTGGAAATAGAAATGAAAGATTATTTATAAACACTCGAAATTTGTTATTAACGCCCCAGGGCGGGTGAAATCTCCCCTCGCCCCATTTAAAATAATCATCGCCAATTAAGGAAAATATCTTTTTAAGGAAAACTTGTCAGTCAAAGTCCAATCCCCTTAACTCTAAAATATATATTTATGCAATAATTTTATATTATTAAAGGGACTGTAAGCGTATTTTATAGTTATCCTCCATGCAAAGATGACGTTGAACGATTTACAACGATACCGTTAAAACCTTGTCTGATCACGTATGAATTTAATATAGCATTATGCTATATGCATGATATTGTTAGTTAAAACTGTTCATTTTAATTTTTAGGTTCTCTGCAAAAATGACTTGCGAATTTTTTGCTAATATGAAATAATGGAGAATTTTACAGAATTAAATTGTTTTCGAGTCAGAAAAACAATGTTACCTTCAACATTTTTATTCAGATTCAGGATTCAAGGGTACCTTTGTAAATCGGGCATTGCTATCTTTGCAAGGAGGGTCATTTGAAATTTTGATTATAGTCCCTTTAATTTTTAGTGTGGAGAATGTGATGACAAGTTTACTAAGCGGAACCACGTGGTCCGCCATCTTGAATTAAAACACGGAATCCTACTGGCCGATGCTTCAACTAAATTTAGGAATAATTCACAATTTATAAACTTAATGTACGGGTTCCCTTCGATCCGGACCTAAAGGGTTTCCGACCTAAGAACGTTTTCTGATATAAGAAGGTTTTAAATCTAAAAATATGTTAGGTTAGTATTTCTCGTCCGAACCACATTCTCTCCATTTTCCCGTCCGAGCCACCCCGAAATCCTCATCCTTCCAATCAAATTTTTAAGTATCCATTCCTAGAAGATAAAGTTTTTTTGTTTGTTAATTATATTAAAAATCGTAGATTTTTTCTCGGGTATCTGTATACAAAATAAATATGTACACTTTTAGAGAGAATTTTCTAAATTTGTTTAAAGATATAAAACCTCCCATCATAATATTTACATTCCATGTTTGTTCATGTTATTGAGTAATAGTACTAGCAGCCAGAGGTGTGCAATGTACATATTCTGATGTAAAATCATTCCCACCCTTCATTAATAATCATTTACGGTACGTAGAGGCCCAACAGTTTAAAGTATTTTTTGTCGCTGAGAAACAAGTAATATAAAGGATTAATCACTATTGGGTAAATAGGTAAAATGAAATGGCAAAAAACTTGTTGATTTGTGGATCTAAAGTGAATGATTAAATGACTAGTGAATGTGAGAAAACCTGTGAGATCTGTGGAGAAATATTTAGCAAGCAAGGAAGTTTAAACACGCACATTATGACCGTGCACCCGGACGTGAAGGCGTTCAAGTGCCGACTCTGTCTGGCGGAGTTCGACACTAGGTCCGAAATCATGGAGCACATCGTGAACCTGCACGGGGAGGAGGAGGTTGAAGAGAACATTGAAACCAGGCAAGGGGATGTCTATTATATCCCCCCNTTAAACATTGATAATTCGGGGAAAGTGAACAACTTTTCGAGAAAAAGGAGTAAAAATATTGGGGAATAAAATTACAAAATCGACTTAAAAAGTTTTTTTTTTCGCTCGTTTGGACACATATTAATTTAATTTTTTAATTTTTTTTACTCCTTTGCGCAAACATACCTGACATTTGGGGTAGAAAAAAATCAGCAGGGGGTGGAAAACAACTTATATTTGGAATAAATTTATACCCCTGAAAAAGGTGTCTGAAAGGGGAAAATCTCTCTCAATTTTATAAAATTAGGGAGGAATAGAGAATTTTGTAAGAAAATATATATTCACCCCTGAAACCAGGTCTGAGGAACTACTTGGCATGAAGAAGTTTAAGAAACCGTTAAATCGGGTTTCTTGTGATCAGTGTGAACAAACGTTTTGCAGCAACCATAGTTTAAAGACGCACATTAGAACCGTGCATGAAAACATCAAGGATTTCTCCTGTAATGTTTGTAGCATGGAGTTTTCTACTGTGAGTGGCGTAAAGCGTCATCTGTTAACTCATCATGATATTACAGATACCAAGGTAACCCTTTACTCACTTCGTCTAACCGATTCATTTAATCTTAAGGCAGCAAAGTTTCTGGCCGATTTCATTTGATCACAGGTCAGTAAAGCGAAGTTTATTTAATCTAAGGTTATCAAAGTTTCTGACCGATTTCATTTGATCCCATGGCAGCAAAGCGAAGTTTATTTGATCTAAGGTTATCAAAGTTTCTGGTCGATTTGATCCCAGGTCAGCAAAGCGAAGTTTATTTGATCTAAGGTTATCAAAGTTTCTGGCCGATTTGATTTGATCCCAGGTCAGCAAAGCGAAGTTTATTTGATCTAAGGTTATCAAAGTTTCTGGCCGATTTGATTTGATCCAAGGTCAGCAAAGCGAAGTTTGTTTGATCTAAGGTTATCAAAGTTTCTGACCGATTTGATTTGATCCCATGTCAGCAAATTTTTTGACCGATTTTATTTGATCCTAGATAAGCAAAGTTTTTATGATAAAATGCAGGTTCGTGTTCTGATCAGTGATCATCCGTCAAAAAGTAAAAATAAAACAATATTTACAAGATAGAATTAAATATTGTTGACCGTTTTTTAAATGATCTTTCGTTAAGATTTTAATCTTGGAGTTTGTTTTGTTTCTAATCTTTTATTTGTTCAAAAACTTTTTGTCGCATATTTGTGAAGACAAATATTTTGTTAAGGATGCATATTTGAATAAAAGTCAAGATGAGAAAAACTCTGGAATAAGTCCTGCTCCCTGCTCGATGTGCAAGGTATTTATGCCATTTAGTTTGATTATGATTTAGTCCCCGATAAAAAATTTACAATAATACAGAGGTGTGATGCAGTTCCATCAGCAATCGTCGTTGTTGGCATTAAATTGAAATATTTTCCACAAAAAAAAAATATCCCAGAAGCGTATTTTTAATAAACTCGCCTCGAAAAGATGACAATGCCCGATTTACGACGGTAACATGAAAACCTTTATTTATCATTAATGTAGAACATGTTTTTATAGGTTTTAAAGTGTTTGACTCTGATGATTTTTACATGTATTTATGCAGTAGAAATGCGCAAGTCACTTTTGTAGAGAAACCACTATTGAAAATAATCAGTTTTCATAACTATAAACATTGATATACAATTCACACTTGATCGGACAAAGCTATTTAAGGTACCTTAGTTAATCGGGCATTGACATCTTTGCAAGTTAAAGTTATTCTTACAGTGCCTTCAAGAAAAGATTTTCCATTTTTGTAAGAATTTTTTTTTTTTTATATAGATTTTGATGGTTATTATATCGTTAGAACTGACGATGGTCAACCCAGACCGAAATATATTTTTAATGAATGTGGAACTAACATCTACTTTTTTTACTCAACAGAGGGTTGGTCCATCACCATCACCGAATTTTAAAAAGAAAAGTGATGGTCTATGAAAAGCACTAATTGAGTTTTTTTTTCTAAGAAATGAAAACCACATGATGATATTTATGTTTTCTTTTTTTTCGAATCCAATTGTTTATACCTCAACCTTTAACAAGTACAATAAAAATAGATTTGATTATTTTCTCGTTATTAAAAGATAAAAATAGTTCAACTACGCTCCCGGATATAATCTGGATTAATAAAAGGACTGTAAGCCTAATTTCAAGTGACCCTCTATGCAAATATGTCCGATTTACAACGATACCCTGTAAACCATTATCTGATCAATAATGTGGAAGAAATTGTAGTTTTTCTAGCTTGAAGAGTTTAGAAAGGTGATAATTTCTTTATGTTTTTATGCAATAGAAATATGCAATTCACTTTTGTGGAGAAACCACATTCACAATTGAAAATAATCAGTTTCCTAAAAAATAAGCATTGATATCTAATTCATACTTAAATACACAAAGCTGTAAAGGGTACCATTGTAAATCGGGCATAGTCATCTTTGCATTGAAGGTCACATGAAATTACACTGACAGTCCCTTTAAGGTTGTTAAAAAATATCAATTGGTTGACTAGTTTATATCTGAATCTAAACCCCCAAACATAAATCTTTTTAATCTGAATTAGATTGAGTTTCTCAGTCCAGAAGAGTTGATTAACCACGTGATATCTAATCATCCGACCCGACCAGACCTATTTCCGCTCTACGTGCGCAATTCAGGACCTCTCCCTTGGAGCAGGGCGGACGCATGGGAGCGTCAAGATTGGTCTTGTCCATTGTGCCCCCACCATATGATATTTAGGTAAAGATTTACTGCTAATTACAATACAGGAGAAGAATTTTTCAACCTAAATCTCAGGTTTTCGCCTGATCAGTGATCACGGTATGAAATTTCCCTTGAAAAACAACATTTCATATTTGGTATTGCATGATATGATTTCCAAACTATTTTTAATTTAAAAATCTAAAAATATTATAGTCAATAGCATTGTCAATATTAACATCATTATCATAATCATTATTTTCATCATTATCGTTATCATTATAATCATTATCATAATATCTTCATTATCATTACAATCATTATCATCATTATCATCATTATCATCATTATCATCATAATCATTATCATAAATATCATTATCATTATTATTATTATCAGAATTATCATTATTATCATTGCTATCATTGCTATCAATATTATCATTTTTATCATAATTATCATTATTATCATTATTATCATTATTATTATTATTGTCATTATTATCATTATTATCATTACTATCATTACTATCATTACTATCATTACTATCATTACTATCAATATCATTGTTATCATTGTTATCATTGTTATCATTGTTACCATTTTTATCATTGTTATCAATGTTATCATTGTTATTATTGTTATCATTGTTATCATTGTTATCATGTTTATCATTGTTATCATTGTTAGCATTTATATCATTGTTAGCATTGTTATCATTGATATTATTGTTATCATCGTTATCATTGATATCATTGTTATCATTGATATCATTGTTATCATTGTTTTCATGATTATCATTATTATCATTATCATCATTGTTAACATTATTATCATTATTATCGTGATTATCATTTTAATCATTAAAATCATTATATTCATTATTATCATTATTATCATTTTTAGTATTATCATTTTAATTATTGTCATTGTCATTGTTATCTTAGGACGTTGATCCAAACAGTTTACACATATATTATGTGCGACTTGCGTGCTTTCATTATTTATTAGCATTTTTATCATTATTTATTACCATTATTATCATAATCATCATAATTATCATTATGATTATAGGACTGAGACCTTGAACGGGATGGTATCTCATGTGAAGCTGGGGCATCCAAACAGTATAATGTGCTGGGTTTGTGGAATGGGCTGGTCAACTCAAGAAGGAAAAGTACGTTTATATGCTTTATTTTTTTATACGAATGTAGATCATGTTGAATGGAGTACAATTTTACCAAATCTGTTGCAATCAATTTGTCTTTTTTTACTTACATTTTTATTTTAACCTTTCCTTGTTTTATTTTTATCTTTGGGTAGTTATAAGTTTGCTTTTCTTTTAAATCTAAATTTTTGGCTTCCAAGATTTAGATATTCAAACATTGAAGATGAGACCCTAGAACCAATATAAAATGTTTATTTCTTGGTTCACTGCAATATTAACTTTATTGGATTTCTTTACAACATCTTAACATACTTTCCAAGATTAATTAGATAAAAAACTTCCAATGTAACTCCCAGATTCTGCCTTTGTGCTCAGTTTTTGGGATCCGTCCTGAAAAAAAGGTTATTGGAGGCCGAATTTTAAGAATTTGAGCCGCGGCTTAAATTTAAGCGGTGGCTCAAATATGGTTGGTTCCACTTAAAATTGTATTTAATGTTTCAATATTTAAGTCGGCGCTCAATTGAAACCGGGTTTTAGGGGATTTGAGACGCGGCTCAAATTTAATAAATTCGGACTCAGGATTAAAGAACAGAACTTTTTTCTTGCAATTTTTCTTGTTAAACCTTTTCCGATTATTTCCATTTAAATCCTGATCTAGGAAGCTATACTTGTGCGAATATTGAACCGGATCATGTTTTCTGTGTCTCCCTGAAAGTAGAGTCCTATAAACAATTGTAAATATTTTAGTTAGTTTACGAACACATGAAAACTTCGCACCCGTTGAAATCCCTGTTTTCTTGTGAAAAGTGCGGAGTATATAACCAGAACAAGAGGCTTCTAGCAAACCATAAAAAGGTAATGACAAATTTACCTTTGTTTTGATAAAGCTAAGGGTGAAACTTTTTCATTGAAAATGTCAAATCCTCTTTGCACCAGCAAAACATTAGAAAGTGGGGCAAACTAGAAGGAACATTAGTAAAAGAAAAATTGATAAAAATCAAAACTTGTTCTGTAATTAACGATTTAAAAAAAGAGGAAAAAAAGGAAAAAAAATCAATGAATTTTTGGGTAACAAGTATCAAAAAGAATGATAAAACATACCTTTTGATGTCCAATTTTTCACCCCCCCCCCCCCAAAAAAATCCTAAATCATTTACGGGGTTGGGGGGTAATTCCGAAAATATACACCCATACACCCCTAATATTGAATAATGAAAATATATGATATATTATTTAGATTCATAGAATGGAGGAGTTACAAGGCCCAATGTTATCTTGTGAACTATGTGATTATGTGACACCTAGACCAGATATACTCGCTAAACACAGGTCACATTCATTAGTTCTACGAGAGGGGGATGGCAGCTCTTACCGCCCAAATGACTCCCAAGCCGCAATTGACGTCAATAAACAGATTTGCGACAGCGGGAGCCCATTATTAATTGAATAAGGATATTTCCAAGGAGTAAAGGCTCGGAAGCATCAAAACCGAGTGCGTAGCTGCAAATCCATTATGTTAATTCTATTACGGCTCGGAAGCGGTTGGGTAAGGATGCCTTCCCCACACTTAAGTTATTATGTAGACTGAAAGTGTACGTGAAAATAGAATCTTTATTTTATCTACAAATATTTGGTAAATATTATTGCACAGTTATTAAATATTAACATCAAATACATGATATATTTCTTATGTATATACGCTTTAACCCCAAAATATTGTAAATTCTTGATAATTTTTCTCGGCAATTTTGGTATTTACTGATATTTCATAAGTTTGTGTATATCCTCTGAATTTTCTTCTGAAGGGTACAGATTGAAAGCAGTAAGCTAAAGGTTCTGGTTGCAAGTCCAGCGAGGCTTAACTTCAGAACCAAATTCCACCCGTTAAATGTAGATTTCTTGTGTTTGCTATTTTTTATGGCTATTAAAAAATTCTAAATATTCAAGTATAAAAATCTCTATTTTTAATAAGAGGGATCAATACATGACTGACATATTCCGGGTGTCTTAGGCTAAAAAAATCGAATTTTTTTTTTCAAAATTATTTAAAAAATTTTTTTTATATCAAATATTATTTTCAAGATTTTTTTATTTTCATGTTTTCACTGGCAACGCCGGGCCCTTCATCGTATCACATAGAGAGATGGATTTAAAATATGTAATGTTAAATTGTTACATTTTATGCTAAAAATTGATGTACCATTTAGAGATAAGGACATTTTTTATAATTTTCTCTTTTAATCAGTTTCGATTTTAGTTTCTAGAGTAAAAAGTTTTTGTTTCATATTTTTTTCTCTTTGATCCGAATACGTGGGTCCACATATTTTTGCGGATCCAGGAAGAAAAAACGGTGCGGATCCAACTAATCCGGACCCTAGCATTGCATTCCGATTAACCTTATTTGACATGAATCCTGGGATGCTCAGAGCATGAATCTCCCATTAAACTATAGCATTCACTTCTCCAGGGAGGGGGGGGGGGGGACAAAACCCCCCTGTATACTGCCTCCAGAGCTAATGAGTTTTTTTCAGGTTTTCTCACAGATCGAATAAAACTTACATGTGCGACGACTGCGGCAAAGTTCTAAAATCTCGCACAGCCCTCGCAACCCACGTCAAACTACACCAAGATGATACGCGCAACCAATGTTCAATCTGCTTCAAAATATTCTCACAACGAGGATATTTAAAGACGCACATGAACTCGCATTCGGACTCAAAACCGTATTCTTGTGAATTTTGCGCCATGACTTTCTTTGGACCCACCAACCTTAGTCAGCACAGAAAAAGGGCTCACGGAGATATGATTGGTGAAAGTCCTAAACTTTCTTGTGATCTCTGCACAAAACGGTTTTGGATTCCCAGCGAGCTGAAGTATCACAGAGAGAGGGTGCATGAAGGCAAGAAGGACTTTAGTTGTACTGAATGTCAGAAAAGGTTTGCGGACAAGAAGAATCTGAAGAAGCATTTAGTTAATGTGCATAAAGCAAGAATGCAGCATTTTCATCTTTAAATATTGGCATTTTCCGTGTTATAATCTCTAAACATTTATTTATTTAAGAATTAATTGTTACAAACTCGAAATTGACATATGAACCATTCTCAATATTAAATCAAACAAAATCATTTCAATTAAATGTTTGCATAAAGAATTTGAGCGCGGTTTAAATCCGCCAAAACCCGGTTTAAATTAAGCGCCGGCATAAATCTTGAAACATTTGATACAATTTTAAGTGGAACTAACCATATTTAAACCGCGGCTTAAATTTAAACCGCCGCTCAAATTCTTTAAATTCGGCCACCGGTATCAATTATTTCCTTCCATAAGGGTAAATATGTATGTATATTGTGACCTTTAAGTTAAAAAACAAGCCATGCTGAATTCCTTTAACCTAATTTTTTTGATGAACTTTTTTCATAATTTTTAGGACCAGCTTTTACATTGTTAGTTTAAAAGTACCTGAAAATATGTTTTTAGTGATAATTTTCCTTGTTTACTATTAAAGGGACTGCTAGCTTTATTTCAAGGAGCCCTCCACATGACAGTTCCCTATTTGCAACGGTATTCACCTTCGCAAAGAAACCGCAAATAGAAAGAAAAAGTTTAAAGAAACAAAAACATTGATATTGAATCCATACAGAATCCATCAGACAAAGCTTTCAAGGGCACCGTTGTGAATTGGGTATTAAATGCCATCTTTGCAAAGAGGGTCGCATGAATTTACGCTTACAGTCCCTTTACTGTTCGAAAAATGTGATCTTGTTGAAACTTTTGTGCGAGATAGCGCTTATCTATAAAGCTTTATCTTGATATCTATTACCCAAGAAACGGAAAAGTCGTTCAGGGAAAACAGCACAAAAGTTCCTCTTTACACATAATGATATTACTAATTTTAATAATATTAAAATTATTAAATATTTTCCAGAAAAATGGGCTTATGATAAATGGCCCCGCAGATCCATGGGACCTCTTTTCCAGGTTAGTACATTCCTGGGACACACATAGTACAGAGATAACTAAAAGTTCAAGAATAGGAAGACGACTTTTAGACTCAGTTATGACTTAAGTCTTTAGTTGAACAGAACAAGCTTTTCAGAGCCCGCGATTTAAAAGCTTCGGCTCGAGCCGTAATTCCTTAAACCCGACTTTAAGACCCAATCTTCGACCCAACTCTAACGACAGCTTGAGTCACGTGATTGACAGCTGCGAGATCTTAGGCTCGACTTAAGGAGTTAGGCCCAATGAAAATAAAACCGACCTTGGTTGGTTTTAATGAAGAATAAGGCTCAATATGTTGGGTCTTATTCTCATCAAAACCCGGAATGCACCAATTCCAACTATGAAAATCCGCCATCTACAACATTAAACCGGTTTTATGAACTAAACTCTGTTGAAAATTAGATGCAACTTAAATCCGAAAGCCCGAGCCGTAAATAAGGCTCAACGACAGCTTAGACCCGAGTCGTATTTTCTTGAATTTTTTAAATCGCCGGCTCCGGAGAATTAAAATCAGAATATCATGATGAACCTCACCTTAAGTTTCATGACAAATTGTAGGTGATCAATTCTGGCTGATTTTGAACCAAAATAGTATACCAAGTTTGATTCTGAAATTTTCAACCAAATAACAATACTACTTATACAATTATGTTGCGATTCAATGAACAAAATTTATGAATGTCTGGGAGAATTTTAGTGTGACGTACAATATTTGAATTGTTTTTTTCTTCAGAATTTTCAATTTAGTTTTTTCCCTAAAAATCCGCAATTTTTGTTGAACGAAAAGTATCAAATTTGAACATTCAAAATGACTACCTGGATCAACAGAAAAAAGGTGTTTTTCTTTTTCATATTTATGTTAACCACCAATTAATCTGCGTAATCTTCTTTTTAGTTTTTCATCGATACTTCTAATAACTTTATAGATTATTTCAAATTAATTTTATTTCAAATCATTTTAAATATTCCCGTTCCCTGTTTTTCTGTTCTTTATCTTCAATCTATTCTTCCCTTACCGAATTTTTCTTTGTTATTAGTTATTTATTTCTTAATTTAATTGAAAGGTTCACCAGTTTTAAAAGAGAAGCTGTACGGTAAGCTGACCCAAATCACCCCTAAAAAAAATAATTTTAGCACACAAGCTCAAGTGCTTCCATACACATATAAGTGTTCCTAAATAAAATGTCTGATAAATAGGAAGTCATTAACAAAAAGTAAAAATCGAAATATTGCTGAATAAATATACCTCGCTACACTGTTAAAGTGTTCTCGCCAAAAAAACAGTTTTCAAATTAGCGTTGAACTGCTACCTGAGCAATGAACTATATACCTAAATCACCTTATTTATGGACTATATACCTAATTGACCCCTATCTACTTAATTCACCTTAGCTATGGATTATCTACCTAATTGACCCCTTAGATATGAACTTTCTACCTAATTGACCCCTATCTACCTAATTCACCTTAGCTATGGACTATCTACCTAATTGACCCCTTAGATATGAACTTTCTACCTGATTGACCCCTATCTATGAACTGTAGATACCCCTAGATGTAAACTGTTTTCTGATTGACCCCCTAGCTATAAACTGCTACCTGATTGATCCCCTAGATATGAATATGCTGCAATTAGAACTGAAATTGCTAAAGTCTAGAAGTACCTAAAACCAGTACGTATTGACTGATATGACTTTTTTTTGTCAAAAATTGAAATCAACTATTATGGTTAAACACTCAATTTTTACATATGCTGATCCCAATAAGATAAAGGCCAAATTTTTGGGGAGGTGCTGTACATATCCCCGGTAACCATTTGAGTCTGTGTCATGTTTAAATTCAGAAAAAGTAAATTTTTAATAAATTTGGGTCACCCTACAGTGTACAGTGAAGATTACAAAATGGAGGTTGTCACATTTGGCGGTAAAATGAGGAAAAAGTGTTTTTTTCTTTTTCTTCATTATTTGTCATCAAAAAGCTTGGAAATTAGAACACAAAAAACTTTGTACAGGAATTAGTCCTGGAGGGCTAAGTTGTCATTCTTACTGGGAATGTGGGGTGGAGAGGGGGCTAAACCACTGTAGCCCCCCTATATCTCCTAGTTTCCATTGCGCCCTCCCCCGTAAATTTGTCTGTAATGTTAGGCACCTGTCTAAAATCAGCTGGATGGTTCGAAAGAAAGAANCTGTTTTGTTATCTTTATAGTCGTTCCTTCAAACCATTACAGTCGTATAGTTTATATAGATACGTGTATATATTCAAAATTAAAACACGTTAGTATTAATTTTTATTTAGAGAAATTCAGGGAGCGCCTAACTCGTATAAGGTCACACTGAATTTTAGATTTTATTTACCTCTTTTATCTGAGCAGCTCGTCGTGAGAAATTCTTATTTGCAATGAGCGCGAGTACGATCTCTTATTCATGAATTGTAAAATGAAAACCAAAAGAGTTATCAAGTCTTAAAGTCATGTAGTATAAAGGAACTCGGTTCTTGCAACAAACTCAAATTTTTAATCCCTATATCTTTGCAACCCGATGTCGTGGTCCTATGATATTTTAAATTATAAGAATTATGTTAGATTGAATAATCTTAAGTTTTAAATGTTAAAGGTTTATTAAGTCTACACCATCAGGTTGCAAAGATATAGGAATTAGAAAATTTTAGTTTGTCCCAAATAGGTTCTAGTACAATAGATGGCAACATAGAATTTGTACACTCACAGTACACCTGTATTCTGAGCTCACAAGTGTCAATTCAGTTTTTGTGTCCGATAAAATTATTAATAATAGTGATAATTTAAGAATAAATTGCTTATCTTACAATAAAATAAATGCAATTTTATGTGTTCTTTATTTTCTGTTTTTACACTTTTTTATTTAATCTTGGAAAACATGTCAACTAATGTGAGATTAATTTCGTTTTCCTTGCTATATTTAACACTTGTGACGTTGTGTATAATTGGCTCATTTCTCTGTTGCCACCTATTGTACTTGATAATCTATTTCTCTGTTGCCACCTATTGTACTTGATAATCTATTTCTCTGTTGCCACCTATTGTACTTGATAATCTATTTGGTTTGTCCTTATATTTAGTTTGAACTTGAGAACACACATTTTACATATACAGCCATGACTAGGATACTGGGAATAAAAGTCCTCTTCAGTAAATCTTTAAAATTAGAAACTTAGCTGCGGGTGTTGTAATTTGTTAATGTTACAATTTTCCACGTCCATTTTCAGAAAAATATCGGTTATCGTGACAATCTTGTATCTAAATATATATACTTTGCTTTTCGGACAGAAAAGTAATGTTTGTTTCCAATAAACGTCAAAATTACTGAACCAATCGGGGAACGCGCATGACTCCAGGGAAGGTTTATAGGGCTGATGGAAGTTGAAAAATTGTAGACATTACTATTTCTGAAAATGCACCAATTTTAACATAAAAATCTGCGGATAATTTATTCTCAACATAGGCGACTCTCATTCCGCTTTAAACTGGAATTATGACTCCAGTTGTTTTTCTTCGAACAAATTCTTATTTTCCTAAGGCAAGTTTAGATATCCAATCACAAGTCTCGTGCCGATTTATAGATTGTTTTTTTCTTTAGGTTCTGATGAGATCTTTTTTAAGCCTTGTGAAAACAAAGAGGTAAGATAAAATCATGAATATTTGGGTAATGTATAGTTAAGGTTTTTATTCTGAGGCAGAATTGAAAGAAGTTAAGCCGGGGCTTAAATTTGAGACGCGGCTCCACTTAAACTTGTATTCAATGTTTCAAAATTTAAGCCGTCGAAACCGGTTTTGGCGGATTTGAGATTGAGACGTGGCTCAAATTCATTAAATTCTGAAATAGAAGTTTTTTTTTGTACAGTGTTAGTCAATTATATCATTACAATGAAGACGACTTTCGATTCCAATTTTTATTTCAAGCTTTTAAACACATGCATAGAAGTCAAGAGAAGCTGTCAATTAGAAAAGCTTTTCTTTGATTAATATTAAACTTGTAATTCGAAAAAGATTGAACAATCAAAAATGAAAGAAAAAAATCGTCTTCATTATATTGATTTAATCGCCTACCACTGTATTTACCATTTAATTTGAAAAGAATTTTTTTGTTTGCAGGGTTGTATCCAATAATCGACAAATTAGCTGTATCAACACATTTTTAGTTTTAACCAAAGAATGCGGAAAAATTGATTTTTAAAAATTTTGTTGAATGAATTATGACACGGAGAGCATTATTAAATTTCAGTATTATAAATAGAAAAAAGGAAACCTGAGATGGAATTTAAAGAATTTGAGCGCGGTTTAAATCCGCCAAAACCCGGTTTAAATTAAGCGCCGGCATAAATCTTGAAACATTTGATACAATTTTAAGTGGAACTAACCATATTTAAACTGCGGCTTAAATTTAAACCGCCGCTCAAATTCTTTAAATTCGGCCACCGGTATCAATTATTTCCTTCCATAAAAGACGACATATGAGAACAATAGTGCTTTCTTTTAAAGGGCCTGTCGAAGTCATTTTTATTGACATTCCGTTTAAAGAGGAGCAATAGCATGCTCTATTTACGATGGTACCTTATAATCTTTATCTGATCAAGAAGTGGAAGAAATCCTAGCATTTCTAGTTTGAAATCTTTTTAATTCTGATTATTCACCTTGCTTCTGCAGAAGAAATTCGCAGAATTTTACTAAAAACTAAAATTGAAATAATTCGTTTTCCAAAAGAGAAACAGTGGCCGAATTTAAAGAATTTGAGCGGCGGTTTAAATTTAAGCCGCGGTTTAAATATGGTTGGTTCCACTTAAAATTGTATCAAATGTTTCAAGATTTAAACCGGCGCCTAATTTAAACCGGGGTTTGGCGGATTTAAACCGCGGCTCAAATTCTTTAAATTCCATCTCAGGACTTCTAATTCACACTTAATCCGATTAAAGCTTTTAGGGGAACTGTTGTGAATCGAACATACTACTCTATGAATGGAAAACCTTTAAAACTTCGTCTAAAAGTCCCTTTTAAGAACACATATACTGATGCATACATATAAATTTCTGTCATAGTTTCTACGATGAAATATCTTTAAAACCCGTACTTCTAAGTATCGTTCAGGGTTACCCACATAGGACGAGACAATGACGTGACGATCTGAAACTCTTAAACTCGGACTTTATAAATGTTAGCTTGGTCTTTGGTCTTACCAAGTGTACAAAACCATTGGACAAAAAAAGGTTTAAAGCTCAAAGCTCAACGGAACAATCAGAATATGAAAAAGGTTTTACTAAATTCCTTACAGTCGTCTCTGAAGTCTCATACTTTGTGGGTAACCCTGAACACAGCTGTAAAGTATACAAAATATTTAAGATACACAATATGTTTTAACTTCAGTTGGCTATATAAACAAAATATTTAAGATACACAATATGTTTTAACTTCAGTTGGCTATATAAACAAAATAATTTCAAGTGACTCTTAATGCAAAAACCTTAATCTGATCAAAAATGTAGAAGAAAACGTTGTTTTTCTGACTGGAATTTTTTTTTGATTCTTATAATTTCTCCATTGTTTCTTAGAAATACGCACGATATTTTACAGAAAACCCACAAAATAAAGATAAAACAGTTTAATAAACAAGAACATTGTTATCTAAACTCTAAATCTTACTTGATCAGACAAAGCTTTTAAGGGTACCATTGTAAATCGGATATTGCCATCTTTACATGGAGGGATTGGTCTTACAGTCCTCGGGTATATATTGTACATTATTTAAAGTACAGTTCTAATTCGTTGAAGTTGTTCCTACATCGCTTTTTTAAATTACCATTATTTTAATTCTTTTGTTTCGAAGGTTGGCAATCCTTGAGCCTGTGTTCTGTGGTTCATTTAACCAAACCTCTTATTCTACCTCCCCACTTTGGACAACATCATATCAGAAAACATTTTCATACAGAAAAATGTCTAGTTCAAGCCAGGTACAAATTTCTTTTTTAAGTTCTTTTTGGTAAACCAGACTAAAATATTTTTTTGTAAAGATGTGGAGTTAACATTGGTGAATTTGAGGCTTTCGTTCTGCATTGATACTTGAATCATGATATATGTTTTATTGTAGAAATATTGGTGACATCGGTTCATTTCTGAAAGACAATATTTTGAATATACAATAAATATAAAAAAGAAAATGCTGTTTTTCTGTCTGTTCGTATTTGTATGTTCGATTATAACACTTTGACCGGCTTGCATTAGAATTTGATTGGGGAACCTAGGAGAACCACGGGAATGTTTAAAAGTTTTATATAGACAGATTGGCTTTTTGAATTAAAACTTAGTTTCCAGGCAAAGCTTGGTTCCCAAGTTAGGGACAGAAATGAAAGGCAAAGTCTGTTATTTTCACACTTACAGCTTTTTCAATTTGATTTATGATAAAAAGTCAAAAGATATTCTCTTTGATTGACATTTACTGTTAACTTGGGAAGGGAGGGGGGAGTCGAGGTTTGGCATAATGAAACCAGGAGAAAATTAATTTCAAGGTAAAATTAAATCCATCCAGGATACCTCATATGAAGCTGCCATCACGGCGTTGAATTCTCTTCAATCCAACGCGCAATCTATCCAGAAAATGCGCAACGAGAGGCAGAAAAATGCCCATCTTAACCTTCCCATCACCAGGAATGGTATTATTGAATTATTGATGGAGGGGGGGGGGGGGTTACTATAAATTTATATAAAAAAATAATAATTTGTTAAAAAAATGTCCAGGGAAGGTCTATGAATTTTGTTTAACTATAAAGGAACGGCTTTGATGACATTTTGATTTAGGGCAAAACATTTCTGTATTTTTCTGTAAGTTTTTAAATAGAAAAAAGTTGGATTTCCAATAAAAGATAAAATAAGACACTAAATGGTTTAACAGTTAAACATTTTTTAAATGGTCCTTTTCCGTAAATTTTTGTTTTCATGATATCAACCCATTCATCTTAATACATTTTGCGTTATTTTTACCCTGTTGCTCATAAAAACGTATAACGTTATGAATTTTAAGCCATACAAAAATGTATTCAAAGTTAAACACCAGACAACACAAGGTCTACAGAATACAAATATTAAAGTAAGTGTAATTTCTAGTGACCCTCAATGCCTGGTTGACAGGAACCCTTGAAAGAGTTGTCTGGTCAAGTATGAATTATATATTAATGCTTATAATTTGAAAAGTAATTTGTTAAAATTGGTTTTTCAACCGAAGTGACTTGCAAATTTCTACTGCAGGAAAACCTGCAGGAAAACTAAAAAAAATGAAAACTACAATATTTTCATTATTATTGATCATAACTTAAAATTTCGCTTATAACCTTTATGCAAATATTTGTCAAAAATAGTGCCATTGGTACAGGATGTATTTGGAAAGAACAGGAATGACGATGGATGATTTGGATTCCATTAAAACAATTCATGTCAGGTAAATCATGGTCTGATCTGATTAAAACCGTCATTTTAAAGGGACTGTCAACGTTATTTTACGTGACCATACATTTAAGAAGGAACATGTTCAATTCACAATGGCACCCTTCTTGGAAATTTTCTTGTTTTTCTTTTTATCTGTAAGTTTTTTATACGTAAAAGTGACTTTTATCAGAAACAAAGAAGGAAAATTGACGGATTTCTGCATGGCTTAAGATATCTTCATCATTGTCGCCTAGATAACTGTGTCTAGGGTCTGTTATAAATCTGGCATGCAACCCCTTTAATTGGGTATTCACTTGAAACTATTACCACTAAGTGATCCTAAATATTTAAAAAATAATGATTGATGAATTTTTATTTGTTTTTATTTTAAATTAATTAAAATTTTAACGAACATTTTTTATAAGAGCAATGAATTTTTTATCTGACTTGGATAATGGATATTCTTTTTAGCTGATAATCATCTGCAGATATCAGATGTTTTTACAGTTTTCAGTTTTGCCAGGAATGTCTGACACATCAACTGATTGAAGGTTCAGCTTCAAACACATATTCCTTAATCAATATTCTTACAAGTTGGAAAAATAAAAGTCACTGATAAGTGGGGTCTGAAAATTCTGAGGACATATTGTCAGAATTCCACATTAATAATGACAAATGGGATAATAAAGGTCAGGAAAGGAGTGGATATTTTCGATAAAAGAATTCTTGATTCTTGTAAGTTCACCTTGGACAGTGCTTTAGATTACGGCCTCGTCTACAGTTATCTTTTCCTTGCAGCCGGCAGAATATAAACTATTATCATAGTGCATGGTGCACAAACTCTCAGGATTCTACTTTTTATGTTTCCATTTTCATTGTTTCTGGCAAGAGGGAAGGGGAAGAAAGAGAGAGAGAAACCCCTATTAAGTACTCCAAGTAGGGTGTACTATCATGTTATTCCAAACAAGGTTCTGTTCAGCCACAAGAAACTGGGGAGAGTTGTATAAGAACCTGACTGTTCTTCAGTTTTTGTTAGATGCAAATTATTGAAAATTTGATCATCCACAACCCTTCCCTGGGCCCTAATAGTCCAGCCGTTTTGACGTTTATTAGATACAAACAGACAGACAGACTAGCAAAGTATATGCATTAAGATTAGGTTGAAACCATTTAAAATATTTCTAAAATTCTATTTGATGTTAAATCTTGAAGAATCGAATAATCAAAGTTTAAAATATCCGAGTTTTAACCAGCAGGTTGTAAAGATACAGTTTAACCAGCAGGTTGTAATGATACAGTTTTCAGTTTCTTTGATGATACTGTTCACTAAGTATACAACACAGTCCACAAAAAATAAAACTTTAAAGACAACTGTACATGTTTTATTTAGTCAAATAAATTTACATTATACAACTCTAAACTTAATTATTTTCAAGAACTGTGGCAAATGGTGAAAGGTCAGGTTTTTTTTTAAAGGTTTTGGAATTCCAAGATTTCACATCAATAATTTCGCTGCGATGAGCCATCATTATGAAAAAATTATCCCCTTAAAAGATACTTTTTTGCCCCTCTGCGGAAGACGAAATCAATCTTGATCCTGGTATTTTAAAGAGGGTAAAAAGCTTATTTTTTGTGGACTTTCTTATTTCTAATTCGGACTTTTAGAGTCGTAAATATATATATTATATATAGCATTTTCAGAATCTAAATTTATTCTCTTCAACGTGGACTGAAATAACATATTTTATACAGCATAATTCTAAATTGATGATTTATGAATCTATAAGCTAAATATATATTTGTAATGTCTGTTTGTCTGTTGTTTTTAAGGTTAACGACTGGTCAAAATTAAAGAATTTTGTTTTCAAAAAGTTTTGATTCTTAAATAGTTGGAAATCTCCAATGAAAACAGAAAATATATTTTACAATTTTTTCTAAAATGTTGAAAAACAAAACAAAGCGGTTGGAGTCAAAGTAGCTCAAAAAAAGTATTAATAAAAAGCTGAAATTATCACAAGAGAGATGAGCCTAGTATTATATTACTTCGAGGTTCAAAAATAAAAATTTTATTTATATAATATAAAGCTTAAAAGAGATCAAAAACTTTTAGTGGAACGAAGGGTAAAGGATCAACCTGTGCCTTTTGTGAGTCTATTCTGCGGCATCATGGTCTAAGGTTTGTTATATTATTATCATCATTAGTAATATTATTATTGTTTTCATCATTAATAATATTAAATTATTGTTAATATTATTATTATCATCATCACTTATTATCATTATATTAATTTTCTACATTTAATCTTATTCAGATATCTTTAACGTTTTACTTCTAAACATGAAACAACAACTACAGTATGCTTCTGCACTAGATAAAACACTGGGAAAAGAACAATTTATTTATAAATTATAAATTCAAGTCTGCAATCCCTCAACAGTGGAAAATTCTGACACAAAACCATTTTTGCTCAACTGTTACATACTTTTAGAAATACAAACTACATTTAAAGCTTATTTTGATAATAATCTTATTCCTTTTCGATATTCCGTAGTGCACATACCCTGCAGGAATAACTGAAAGGTAGGGATCAAACTTTAAACTAAATGTGTGACCTCTGAAGAAAGAAAAGTATATATATAGTATATATATGAAAACTATAAATAATTCGTTAAAAAAAATCACCATTAATTATTTTGTTTTCACCTAAGTTTTAAAAACATGATGTAACACTAATAAGAATATTATCATTATTATAATCTGTAATAATTAATTTAAGAAATAAAACGACTTTCAATATCTTAGGCTTTTTTTTGGTTCCTATTTTCAAAATTTTTTTTCTTCACAACAGTATCCTCCTAGCCTGTTTCTGTAGATTGATTAAAAAATGAAAAAAAATCTTGTTTTTCTTTTGATAAAAACACTTTCATGGCTTAAGTCATACCTTTCTAAAGGAATTCAGAGTTTTAGCCACAAACTAAAATTTTCGGATCCCTATATCTTTGCAAACTCTTGGTGTAAATCGATATTTCAAACTTAGATTACTTAATGCAACAGAATTATAGTTTGAAAGGTCTATGATCTATGAAACTGGGTTGCAAAGATATAGGGATTATACAATCAGAGTGTGGGAAAAAAATCAATTACTTTCCAGAGCACTGATATTCTAAAACCAATGTTTGTCCCAATTCTATTATGAATACTATTTTTGGTACATAAAGGTTGAAATTGAAGATCCATGCAATGTACGAAAGATACAATTTATTATAAATATTTTAATTATGTAAATTGAAAATCCATGCAATTTATGAAGAAACAAACTATTATTAATATTTTAATAAAATAAATTGAAAATCCATGCGATATATGAAGAAACAAACTATTATTAATATTTTAATTAATAAATTGAAAATCCATGCAATATATTATGGATACAATTCATTATAAATATTTTAATTATGTAAATTGAAAATCCATGCAATATATGAAGAAACAAACTATTATTAATATTTTAATTAAATAAATTGAAAATCCATGCAATATATTATGGATACAATTCATTATTTAATTATGTAAATTGAAAATCCATGCAATTTATGAAGAAACAAACTATTGTTAATATTTAAATTACAAAATTTTAGATCCATGCAATATATGAAAAAATAAGTACTGTTTATAAATTAGAACTGGTTTCTACTCGTCTCCCCATCTTGTGTCTGCTACAGAGCGTGTACGGCTGGATGGACTACCTATACACAAGGAGAAGTTCACAGAGTACTTCTGGATTGTGTACAACAAGGTTTGCAGGTACCAGGCTTTTAGTCTTCTTTTGTTTAGGCTGAAATAGATAAATTCTGTCTTTAACCTTCTTTGTCTTTGCTGCATAAATGGAATTTAATTATTCAATTTATTAAATAATTGATTAATCAATAAATTGATTTCTTTATTGAATGATGGATTAGTTGTTGTATAGCTTTCTTTCTTCAGTGAATAATAGATTGGTTGTTTTCTAGCTTTCTTTCTTTATTGAATAATCGATTAAAGGTTTTATACTTTCTTTTTTCATTAATTAATTGATCAGTTGTTTTATAGCTCTCTTTCTTTATCGATTAATCGATAAGGTGGTTTACTGTTTTTTTTTTCATTGAAAAATCAATTAATTGTTATATAGATTTCTTTCTTTATTAAGTAATCAATTAGATGTTTTATAGCTTTATTTCTTGATTGAATAATCAATTATTTCGTTTTGTAATTTCTTTCGTTGTTAATTAATTGATTAGCTCATTGATTATTTAATTAGTTGTTTTATTAAATTTTTAATTTCTCATTTCATTGAATACTTGATTAGTTGTTTTACAGCTTTCTTTCTTCATTTAATAACTGGTTAGTTGTTTCAATGATTTCTTTCTTCATTGATAAATCGATTAGTTGTTTTATTAATTTATTGACTTATTTTTTCATTAAATTATTGATGAGTCGCTATATAGCTTTCTTTTCATAGAATAATCGATTAGTTGTTTTAATGATTTCTTTCTTCATTGATTAGTTTTTTTATTAATTTATTGATTTATTTTTTCATTAAATTATTGATGAGTCGCTATATAGCTTTCTTTTTCATTGAATAGTCAATCAGTTGTTTTATTGATTGATTTCTTAATTAATTTATTGATCCATTGTTTTATGGATGTTTGAGAACTTTTGATTAATTGATTGATTGGTCCAGAGGTCGGTTGTCTGAAGATAGGCCTCCCTATTTCCAGTTCTTGACTATCCTTGCCTTCTATATATTCTGGAGGGAAGCTGTAGAGGTTGCTATTATAGGAACATTTACAATTATTAGCTTCAAAATATTTTATAACCCTCATTCTTGAACCCATAAAATGTTTAATAATTTGATTTTTAATCTCATTCAAGAGCTACATTGTTTTTATAATCAGTAACAATCTTTTTAAGCTTTCATTTATCGTGAGTTAATTGGGTTTACCAGTGAGAAATTCAAAGATTGGGTTTCCTATTAATCAATTTTATTAAAGTTTGTCTTTTTAATAATGGCCAGCTAAAGGTTACCATTTAAAGAATTTTTTTTAACGCTCTCTAATTTCATCATCTTAGCTCTCAGAATTTAATTGACCTGGCTTATCAATTTTATTCTATTTTTCAATGAGGAAATTGGAAATTTTGTTTCTTTAATTGTGAACTAATTAACAGAGGTTGGTATTGGCGGAGAATATGATTGTACAAATATAATCAGGAATCCAGTTGTTACAGGTACTGTTTTCTTCTCTCTGTAATTACTTATATAATAAAACAAGACATTCATACAGATGTTGTGCATATCCGTCCAAACGGCTGGACTGATTGGGCTGAAATTTGTTGTGGACACTCATGGGTTGCTGGGGTGTGTTATAGGCTAAAAAAAATTTGAACTTTTTTCTTCAAATTTTTGATATATATATATGTTCCCTGTTTAAAAAAAAAAATTTCTGGGTAACGCCAGGCCCTTCGGCTAGTTATCTATATAAATAATATTTAAATACTGGCCAAAGGGCTTGACCACCGAATGGGTATAAATTACATGTTTTTTGGCTTTGGGACATGAGGTTTTATATTTTAGGAATAACAGCTCTAGGGTTGGACCATACAAATATTCTTGGCAACTATATTTCAGAGATTGCCTGGCATAAGGTGAAAATTTGTTTGGGAGCTGGGGAGGGGGGTCCTAGTGCATGGATGTATGTCTTGCAGCTCCTAAAGATAGGGGGTGGAGGGTTTACACAAAATTCGCTGAGTGTTATAGTTATAACCCACTGGGTAATAAATCTTTGTAGAGTTTCAAACCAGTTTTTCATGATATTGCAAGCTCAGTGGGTTGTATTCTTGATGGAATTTAGCACCTATGTTAATTAATGAAGGGATGGTTATGATTTTTTGGTTTAGGCTGGTATAATGAAAAGAGGAGTAACCACATATATTGATGGAGATCAACCAGAAGCTGCACTCAAGGTAATTTTCTAATCTAAGAAGAAATCTGCCAATATATGTAAGAGAAAGAGATGATAGAGGTTAGGTTAAAGGTGCTGATGTATGTTTTATACTTAGAAAATAGAATATTGGGTAAGAAGAAAGATTATTTATATACAATACCATATTTGTAAAAATAGAAAAGTGTAGTGATTATTGTCTTCAAATACAAGCCAGATGTAAATCCTAGGGATTTTCGATGTCAATTAATTGCACCCATTGTTCAGGGTTAATGCAAATATTTCACTCTAGATCCCCATACTCTCGTTTAAGTATCGATCCCTTTAATAACCTCTATATGTATATATCTCTTGGAGTATAAATTAATTGAGATTGATCAGTTTAATAATTTATTTAGTAAATACATCTGTAAAGTTGGGCCATGTCTTAATAACCTCCTTTTGATGCTTGAGAGAACCATAGTTCAGCTAAAGATAGTATACTGGTCCTCTGTTTATTCTTGATGGGCCTGAGCATATTTAACTCCTGTAGGGATTTTGATGGGCCTGCATTAGGCCTAAAGCAATTCTCAATTAATCTTTTAAGAATAGCAGTCCTCTGTCTAGTCCTTGAATACTTCAGATAAACAGTTATTAAACCTTCCTTGTAGCGAGACCATTTTCTAGCTGCTCTTGGTCTTGATTCCTACGAGCAGCTCCTCTAGATTCGAATCCAACATCCAGCTGCTCTAATTTGGGAACTCTGGATTCAATTATCTCATTTAGATGCTTCAAGTTCAGACATATCTGAGTAGCTGTCTCAGCTTCATCTAATTGCTCTGATTCAGGGGCTTGAAACTCAAACACTTCATTCCATGGCTCTGGAGTATGATTTCTTTGATTCAAAGATCCAGAAGAGGAGATATCACCCTTCAACCAGGGAATCAGTCTTACAATGATAACCTGTAGTTGGTCCACATAAGCTTCCATATATTCAGCTGATCCATTAACTGCTTCTATTGGAATCCCAGATGCTCCTGGAGTTAAGGGGGTCTCTGGGTCTGGGGAGGGAACTGGAGGAGTACCAGGTTAGGGAGTATCTCTCAGGAGTTCTTCTAACTCTAAATCAGGGTGATGGGGAGCCGCTTGCAGAAAGCAGCTTCCTCCATCTCTGATACTAAATCCTTTTATATGTAGACCTCCATAGCTGTAAACTTTAGAATGGGATATCCTTAATCCTGATCGGATAAGTAATCTGGAGATTAAAAATGATAGGAGAACAAGCAATATTTAATCTAAAGATTAAGAAAAAGAGTGGATTAAGCTTTAATCCCGATATCCACCATTCTAAAGTTTTCAGCTCAGGTTTCTCAATCATGTCAGGAGGACAATAGATCTGTCTTCGTAGATCCTCATGATCTCTTCTTCACCTAGGGTCATTAGTCTCTATTTGTATTCTGGCTGCTCCATATCTTGGGTGTCTCTATTGAGAGAAGATGGAGCATCTGCATTTCTAAAGATCCTGGCTGCTCTGTATCTCGAGTGTCCCCATTACTTGAAGCAACTGGAGAATCTGGAGCTTCTTCTAATACATCTTGATCCGTAGTTGGATTAGCCAGGACTGTTATAATCTCAGCAGTGCCAGAAACCAATGGAGAGATTCCTTGGGGACGCTGATGAATCTGAAGAAGCATCCTCTGGAATATCAATGGGGAAGAAGGCCGGTTTCCTCTGTTGTCCTCTAGTAGGCATAGTAAAGGTAAAATAGTCTGAGAGCTGTCAATGAAATACAAGTCCCCAGGCCTTAGATTAATAGAGCTAAGCTCTAGCAACTATCCTGTAAAAGATCCTGGAGTATACTGCTGTCTAGTCCCTCTATTATGTTATGATTCATAAAAGGTGTGAGGGTTATTAGTATCAGAATCCTATTCTAAATATTAAAATAGCGAGGTAAGATGAAAGGAGTCGATATGTGTACACTACCATATTTGTAAAAATAAAATAGTGGGGTAAGAAGAAAGGAGCTGATGTGTGTACACTGCCATATTTGTAAAAATTAGAAGGAGGGGGTAAAGATAAAGGAGCTGATTAATATACACTAACATAATTGTAGAAAATTAAGTAGTTAGTATAAGGAGCTGATCCATGTATTGTACCATGTTTATAGAAAATCGAAGAGCGGGGTAAGGAGAAAGGAGCTGATGTAAGTATTGTACCCTTTTTGGATGAATACGGCTGGGGTAGGTTCCCTATGATTCTTGGTCTTCATGGACAGGTAGAAAATAAGTTATTTGTCCTGAAAATACAAAATTACTAAGTTACCTACAAAATTGATTGATAATAATATGGTTTGTCAGGTTCAACAGAGGAATGCATCTTTAGCCCTGGCATTGTCCAGACATTTCCTTTCAACTTTACTCAAGGAGCCTACTCCTGCTGTTCTTCTAGAAACTGGAGTTGGCATTTCAACAGTACAACCCTTCAATATTAGAGGTATAAAATCTAATTTGAACTTCCTCTCTCCAAACTGGTTTCTTTTTTATCAAAAACAATTTCATTATTTTGTTAACATTAAGCCCGAGTAAATAGTACAGTTTTAAAACTTCAGGTTTCAGGCCCATCACTCCTCCTCCTTTTAAAAGTTGGGCTTTGTTTTCTAGTTTGATTTGGTTTGTCCAAATTGCTTAGTCTATATTGTTTAAACCAAGGTATGTACTTGACCTATTTTATGTACCAACACCAGAAAGGTTCTTTATTCAAGGCATATTAAGAGTCTGCTGGGTAAGCAGTTAGCTGACAGCTGTCGAATTCTCTTTCAGTCTTTTATTATTATTATTATATTATATTATAGCTGAGGATGCCCTTGGATTGCTATTAACTGACTGGCCGGGAAGAAATCAGTTGATTCAGCAGGGTAGGATAAACTACCTTCTTGATGGAGCACACACAGAGGAGTCAATTAAGGTATTATATTATTACAACATTTACAGGAATAAAGTATATTTTTAATGTTTTAGTATCTTAGTGTTCATGGTTTAATATTGTTTAAGGCATGCAGATCTTGGTTTAATGTAGCATCAAAGCGGTTGGTTACTAATTCAACAGAAAAAATATTTAAGGTTACTTTTTATATTTTTGTATAATATGCACTTGATTTAGGTATTTATTGTATTGAATATTTTCTGCTATTTCAAGGGGGTTATTAATATATAGGATCCCAATCAATTTGAACCAGATCCAGTTTACTATTGCTTTAACTAAAAAAATGCTGTATATTTTAGTTGATATTTTGACAGTGGGATTAGTTATTGTGAATCTTCATTTTTTACTACTGTTTTTATTTCTTTTGCTTATCATCATCCTACTCATTTTTTTTTGCAGATTATGGTATTTAATACCTCAGGAGACCGGGATCCCAGGGTTCTTTTACAACCTTTTCTCAATAGGAAATTTGTAAATCAAAAACCAATTATTTTTTTGTCACTAACTAAAATAAGTCAAATTTTCTTTTGTATTAAATTTGCTTTTGTGTTACTTTAATGATGGTTAGATTGAATTACATTTTCCGGATTTTAGTGGTCTTGACCTAGTTATATTTTGCACTAATATTGTGGGAGGTTATGGGACCAAAGACCAGGAAAATTTTACAACTACAGAAAAAATACAAATATCAAGGTAAAATCATTTTGTGCTGACAGGAATAATAACTTTTTACTGTGGTTTATTAATTGCTAAACAGTTTTTTATGGGTGACCTTTAACATTCTTCGTGTGAATGACATATCCCCGACATTTAACCCTATTCCTGTTGGGGGGGTGGGGGATTTTTTTGCAAACATTTTTACTATATAACTGGATTTTGCGATAAAAAATTCAATTTTTGCAAATTTGGAAATTTTTTTGCAGATTCTAAAAGTAGAGTACAAGAGCTTTAAATGATGTATCATTTGTCATATTTGGACATCAAACATGGGATTTAGAGGGGGGGGGGGTCAAATTGCCCCCCAGCGTATCCTGGTTTTCAAGTACCCCAGCAGAGATAGGGTTAAGGGATTTTGAATGCAAGACATGGCCGTTTTAAAATCAGCTTCATTCATTTTACAAGAGTCCAATAATATTTTTAGTGCAAGTCAAGATAACTACTAGTTTAATACTGATACAAATTAATAGTACATTTATTTGGTGGAACCCTTTTTTAACCGAATTAATATTAAAATTACCTCATTGATGCTTCACATAGTGTACAGGACAACTATTTAATTTAATTTAGAATTTTTAGTTTTTCTTAATCATAGGTGTGAAAATCATCTGCACGTGTGGACTAAAATGCAGAGCAATGCCGCAAATGTTCTCAACTCTGAGAACCAAGAGTCTGAATGTGTTTCGTCATCTTTACTAAACTTTGCCAATCTTCCATCGTCAGGAAATAATATAAGTTTAACATCATCAGTTTTCACTGTAAATGAAAATCAAAGAATTATAAGAGAAAATTTTCATTTTTTTCTTTTAGAAAATAGATTTTTCTTCTGGACACTTATTGTACTGTGTTTCATTGTTCCCTGAAGACAGAGTTGCGGTTTCCTTTCATGATTTTATTTGAGATTGAATTTTTTAAGCATTTAAAACTTTTAGATTTCAGGAAATATAATATTATTCTTGACAATAGATCCTATTCCTGGAGTTATTATCCCTAGTATTAGTGAAGCTCTTGAATGGATATCTCTTGGTTCTGATCCTAACCTTGGACCAAACCTTCCAACTATTCCTTTGCATCCTATTCCTCAGGTTTATTTTAGTAAAGCAAATTTTAATGCTAAACTTAATTTTAATGAATAGAAATCTTTGTTTTTATTTTGGAAAAGTTTTTGATCATTTAAAGGACATCACTGAAATAATAATTATAATTATAAAAATGGGTAAATACCAAGTTTGCCTTCCTGAAGAAGAAATTTTCCCCACCAACATGTTATCATCATGTTTCAGAAAGTTATATTTATTATAGCTTTTTGGCTCACAGCTTTTTTGTTTACACATCACTTCATTTTGGCAGGATCTAGAGACTGCTGATCAGATTCAAGTTCTTATCACTGGCTCTCTTCATCTAGTTGGCGGAGCTCTTGCTTGCATTCAGGTAAAACCTCTTGAAAGCTAATTGGAATGCCCAGACACTTGAATTTTGGAGGGTTTTAACATTGAAACATTTTAGTTCTCTTAGAACACTTGAATGCTAAATGCTTAGATGCTTAAATGGTATAAACTCTTGAATGCTTGAAACCCTGAAATGCTTGAACCCTGAAATGCTAGAACGCTTGAACGCTGGAATGCTTGAATGCTTGAATGCTTGAATGCTTGAATGCTTGAATGCTTTAACGCTTGAATGCTTGAATGCTTGAACGCTTTGATGCTTTAACGTTTGAACGATTAAATGCTTGAATGCTTGAATGCTTGAATGCTTGAATGCTTGAATGTTTGAATGCTTGAATTCTTGAATGCTTGAATGTTTGAGTGGTTAAATGCTTAAATGCTTGAAAAATTGAATGCTTGAATGCTTGGATGCTTGAACGCTTGAACCCTTAAACTCTTGAACGCTTGAATGCTTGAACGCTTGAATGCTTTAACGCTTGAATGCTTGAATGCTTGAACGCTTGAACGCTTGAACTCTTGAACGCTTGAACGCTTGAATGCTTGAACGCTTGAATGCTTAAACACTTGAACGCTTGAATGCTTGAATGCTTGAATGTTTGAGTGGTTAAATGCTTGAATGCTTGAACACTTGAATGCTTGAATGTTTGAGTGGTTAAATGCTTGAATGCTTGAACACTTGAATGCTTGAACCCTTGAATGCTTGAATACTTTAACGCGTGAATGCTTGAACGCTTGGATGCTTGAACGCTTGAATGCTTAAACGCTTGAACGCTTGAATGCTTGAATGCTTGAATGCTTGAATGTTTTAGTGGTTAAATGCTTGAATGCTTAAACACTTGACTGCTTGACATCCCTCCTTAACTCCCAAAAAAATGTTCTGTTATCAACTCATATGCTTTATACAAATTCTTTTCAGCCAGATGGATTGCCTGAGAGAGTAGTGGACCCGGGTTTAATTGCCCGATATCTGGGACTGAAGAACAGTCTGGGCTCTGTTCCTGGGATGATGTGAATAATGCTGCTAAAACTTTTCTAAACAAAACAAAGCAGAAATCTCATTCAAGATCTGTTTACTTCTGTTAGTACACTAAAACAGCACAGATAATAATATTAGATGTAAATGTATGATTGTGAAGTGTAAAATCAACTCATCAATGTATAATTAATTGTTTACTTTGAACCACATACTTCTGAATTATAGAATGTGTTTGTAAAAATTTAACAACTATCGTATATGCTATTGTTGCTGTATGGCCGTATTTTAATATTTTTTAGATTTTCACCCATTTATCACTAAACATTAGATTTATTTCTCTTTAAAAAATCATGTTTATAACAATCATTTTTTTGTATATGCAAGTTATACATTAAACGAAATGAGGAAATGGAAAAAAAGTTGTAATAAGTTTAATTTACTGTAAAAAAATAAAGTAAATATTTAGAAAAATTCAAAAAATGAAAACTAGCAGGACATTTTTAATTAAAGTTCTGCATCACTTTTAAGTGTAATTATATCAAGTCAGTCACTTCATTGAAGTCAATGTCATGTCATGTCATGTCATGTTTTATTTAGTACCCGACATTCAAACACAATCTTGTTGTTGTTGTAGTTTAAATAATTAAGGGTAACTTAAAAATGGCTTCGAAGCCAGAACTTTTAGAGACCTTAACTCCTGCATCAGAGCTTAAAACTTGAGAATGTCGGATATTGAGATCAATGGTTGATCTCTTTTTTTTAATCTCCAGATTATATAATGCTTGTTCCAGCTAAGAGCACATGAAGATTCTGAAATTTTAAATCTCTTATTATTTTAATCCATGAAATTAATTTTCTTGATTTCTAAATCTAGCTGTTCGTTCACGTGTGATATCTGATCTGAATTAATTTGTATAAATTACAAATGAGCATTTCAAGTCAATGAATATGGACCTTAGATATTGTAAAAATATATATGTATTTTTGTAGTAATTATATACTCCTATGTGATGTGTTTTGTATCTCTACATGTTGGTTTCAGATGCAACACTAACACCAGTGTTAAACATGAGGATTGCAGTGGAGGGATGCACTCACGGAGAATTGGATAAAATATATTCAACCGTCCAGGAACTAGAGACTAAACAGGGATACAAGGTAGAATTGGATAAAATAGATTCAACACTCCAGGAACTAGAGACTAAACAGGGATACAAGGTAGAATTGGATAAAATATATTCAACACTCCAGGAACTAGAGACTAAACAGGGATACAAGGTAAAAATTCAAGACGTCCGCAACTGCGGTTAGGAGAAATTTGGGACAATGCCTTAGGATTAGGGATAAGGGTTGGAGTTGGAGTTTGCAACAACAATTTCAACAAATGCAAATTGTTGTGCTATTTAATCACAAATAATCTCAAGGTAGTAACCTACATTTTGACGGACAGGGTTTATTTTTAAATATCCTAAGTATCTCTTCTCGAGTCACTTGATAGTCAGGGATGTACACAAATGGGAGGTGGGGGGGGGGGCTATGCGAGCTTAGACCCCTACCTTTCTGGATGCGCTAAAACTAAAAGGTTCCCTGGGGTATAAAGCCACAACGGTGGAAGGACCACTCTAAAAAATATTAAGAAGGTTAAGCCCCCCCCCCCCCTCCTAACATTTTCTAATTACTGTATACGCCCTTATTTGTAGTCTTGGGTTTCCATTAGTATCTCCAGACATATTCGATTTATTGAATACATGTTCAAAACACGTGATTTATGCCTCTATTTTCTGAAATTTTTGCCAAAATCTTTCAATTAAAGAAAATTTCTTGTTATATCTATACAATACATTTATAAATCAGTATTGTGAGAGATTTTCAATTGGCAATCCTAGCTAATATCTGGATTAAATACTGTGCTGTTAAAGAAGTATTAAAATTCTTAGTATTAATACTTTTTACAAAGGAATCCAGTTCATGCCCAACCAACTGATTTCTAGTTTCATCAGATTTTCAAATTTTCTGAAAGGGACTGTACGCGTAATGTTTAATGACCTTCCGTGCAAAGATGGAACCTTTATCTGATCAATAATGTGGTAGAGAATGTCGCTCTAAAGTGTTTAATTCTAATATTTCCTATATGTTTTACTGTAGTAGAAATGCGCGAGGCACTTTTGATTAGAAACTTCAGTTGAAAGTAATCACCAATTAAAATTATAAACATTTAAATTTAATTCATATTTGATCAGACAACGCTTGTTGTGAATCAGGCATTTCAAACTTAGCATGAGGGTCAGTTGGGTCACTTGAGGAGGGTCATTTGGGTCACTTGAGGAGGGTCAGTTGGGTCACTTGAAATCAAGATAACAGTCCCTTAAAACAAAATTATAAACAATTAGTTAGAAATATTCATGTACAAAAACATTTTAAATCATTTTTATAAAATTGCAATGATAGGAGGCGCAATTATAGAATTTTTTTCTTCTCAATGTTCGCAAGTCTGCGCGCAAACACCCTATTCATTTCCTAGTTTGGGGGGTGGAGTTTGCTAACAAAACAACATGATTTGATACAATTATACACTGCCAACTTTTCTTGTTACTAAACTTTTACGTTCTTGTTTTTACAATCGTCAAATTATCAGTTGGCAAATTTTGAACGGATATCCCGTAATTGCTGATTTTGCCAGGCAAGAAATACATTTTTTGTTACAGACTAAATTCTTGGTTTTTTTTCAGCTGACCTAGAAATTGCAAAATATTTAACTTTTATTTTTCTACCTGATGAGCTGATGCAAGTCTTCATGAATTTTGGAAACATGTCTGTTTTTATGTTTTCATATTTAAGATTGACTTGTTGCTCTGCTGTGGAGACTTTCAATCCACGAGAAACCTGACGGATCTAAAATGTATGGCATGCCCCGACAAATACAAGGTACATATCTAGTAATTGATTGATCCATTGTCTGATTCATTGATTCATTTATCAATTTAGGCAACTTTTGGATCAATTGAGAGTTTGATTTATTAACTGAGAGTTTGATTGATTAATTGTGCGATTAGGTTTCCATTTGTTGTATCAATTTAGGGATTTACTGATAGTTAATATTCAACATAATCTAAAAATATTCTAGCAAATTTTTACTGAAGTTGAACTACTGTATAGGGTATCTACTGAACTACTGTACAGGATATGTACTGAACTACTGTCCAGGTCGTCCAGGATATCTACTAAACTTCTGAACAGGATATGTATAAACTACTGTACATGATATCTTCTGAATTACGGAACATTATATGAACTAAATTACTGTACATTATATGTACAAAGCTACTGTCCAGGATATGTAATAAGCTGCTTTATAGGATATGTACTAAACTGCTTTCCAGGATATGTACTAAAATACTGTACAGGATATGTACTGAACTACTGTACAGGATATGTACTAAACTATTGGACAGGATATGTACTAAACTACTGTACAGGATATGTACTAAACTACTGGACAGGATATGTACTAAAATACTGTACAGGATATGTACTAAACTACTGTACAGGATATGTACTAAACTACTGTATAGGATATGTGTTCTTTCTATCGTTATTACTCTGGGGAGAAGCTAGCTCCGGTTTTAACAGTGTTCATTGGAGGCAACCACGAGGCTTCAAACTATCTTCAGGTTCATTCATTGATTGATTTATTTGTTTCTTGATTTTTATTTTAGGATGGACTGATTGATTGATTTATTGATTTATAGGTTGGTTTTGTGTTTAATTGATTGGTTGATTAATTGGTTTATTGGTTGATTAATGAGTAATTGATAAATAGTTAATTGACTGATTGACTAACTGATTACCTGATTGATTGACTTACTTGTTACCTGATTGGTTTACTAATTGATTTATTTATTAATTTATTGGTTGAACGATTGATTTTTGTTCTTTTACTGATTTTTATGAGCCACTGATTGCTATATTGGTGATATATTGTTTTTGGAATTATTGGTTTTAATGACGGATTAATTGATTGACTTATAAATTTTTCATTTTTGATTAATGCAGAATTGGGTTATTTAGCCGTAACAATTTTTTAAAGTTTAGTTTAAAAGTTTTTTTTGTTAATGAGTTTTTTTCCAGGAGTTGGCCTACGGTGGCTGGGTTGCCCCCAATATATATTATCTGGGATATGCTGGAGTCATTAACGTTAATGGAGTTAGAATTGGAGGCATGTCCGGAATATACAAGGTAATGTAGTCATGTCCGGGATATACAAAGTAATGGAGGCATGTCCGGGATATACAAGGTAATGGAGTCATGTCCGGGATATATAAGGTAATGGAGACATGTCCGGGATATAGAAGGTAAAGTAGTCATGTCCGGGATATACAAGGTAATGGAGGCATGTCCGGGATATACGAGGTAATGGAGGCATGTCCGGGATATACGAGGTAATGGAGGCATGTCTGGTATAAACATGGTAATGGTGGCATGTCCGGGATATACATGGTAATGGAGGCATGGCTGAGATAAAGAAGGTAGAGGAGTCATGACCGGGATATTCATGGTAATGGAGGCTTGTCCGGGATATACAAGGTAATGGAGAAAACATTCCGGGACCGTTGTGTACGAATCAGGGGTGTATATTTTATTGAAAAGTAATTTCCCCCTCTTTTGAAAATTATTTTTACTTGCAGAAATTGTTTTGTATAGGGGTTTATTCGCTAAATTGCGAAAATTAAATGATTTTAGGGACTAAAAATAATAAAAGTAAAAAAGTTTATTTATAAGAAAATCCTAAAAAAAAATTCATAATAATGTATTTCTATTTCAGGGATTTGATTATCTTTTCGGACATTTTGAAAAACCACCATACGACGATAACACCATGCGATCCTGCTACCATATACGTAATGTTGACGTTTTCAGGTGTCCATAATTTACATTAGCATCAGGGGTGTATATTTTTCAGAACTACCCCCTCCCCCTTGGGGGCGGGGAAATGATCTTTGAAGATTTGGGAACATGAGGAAATTTTTTTTTTTAAATGATTCATTTTATTCTTAAATTTAATGATAAATTTGTTGATTTTCCCGCATGCGATTTAATAAATGAAACCATTAAAAAATGTATCGGTCTCCGTGCAGCATATATATCTTGATTTTTAATCTTTTTTTTATGATTTTTCTCATTTTTTCAAGGTTAGAAAATAAATATTTAAGATTTTAATTGACCCATAAACTAGGTCTGTGTTTGTTTATATGTTGTGGGTGGGGTGGGGTCTGATTTCCTAGTACTTCTTTAAGGTATTATTATATGACCAAGGAGGGGGGCGGGGTAGGGGGGGGACTGAACCTATTAACAACTGAAAACAAAACTAAATATTTAGTTAATTGTATAGTGGAGGAAATGGTATTTGCTGAGCTTTTTAATTGAATTAACCTTCTCTTTAATTGTTAAGGTTAAAGCAGTTAGCCTCTAATCCACCTCACATTATGCTTAGTCATGATTGGCCCAGGTAATTTGATCAAAGGTCGGAACGATTGAAATGTTAATTCATTTTGAAGAATTGAGTGAACTCCTGTTGGATATCTGTAAAGGTAGGTCAGATGCCCAAACAATCGGCTTTCGACTGACGCGAGAATGCGAAAGCATTTGTCAGCTGTGCTTTATGGATTAAGAACTTGAACGCTGTAAATTAAAAGTTTTGGATATTGATTATAGGATGATGTAAAGTTCCCAGATTATTTTATCCATTATCGTCAATTTCTTGATTTAAATTTTCAAACTAATGAAAGTGCACTTCTCAGTTAAACAATGATTTCAGGCGAAATTTGTTTTAATCTTTTAATATGCCATCATTGGATTCTATTTGAAATAAAACAAGAATATCTTTAAGACATTTTCCTCGATTTGCGACGAAGAGTATTTTTAATCTAGATCAGCACTACGTTGAAAAGGTGTTGCACAAACTTCAAAAAAAAAATTTTGGCTGTAAAAAATTTAAACCGAATACGATTCCAGCTAACAGATCTATTGAGTTGAACCACGGTGACTTAGTTGAACAACGTCTCTTAGGAAAAGTTAGAAAAGGAAAAAAAGAAGGAGGGAGGAAATGGAGGAGAGGGAGGAAATTACATTTAATTTTCTCAATTATGAATTTAGATCTGTGACTAACTACGGGAATACTGACCAGCTGATGAGATTTAAAAAACATTTCAAAGATGAAATAGAACAGGATAAACTCGGTTCTCCACCCACCAAGGTGATAAATTGTATAATTGTATCTCTAATTGGCAGATTTCTCCCCTAGATTGGTCACGGTCATTTAAAGGTCTCAAGCTCTCAAGCAAATATCTTTCAGAATTTTGCCAATTACTTCTTAAAAACTAAAGCTAACAACAAATGCATTATAGTGCTAAAATGTGCATATAAAGGGCTACAGAAAAGCATAAGTGAGTTAGAGCGGTAAAATATAAGCCCAAGGCGTTGCGACACTTCGAAGTCGACCCTGTCTTAAAGATTGATTTGTCTTCTTACATTTGAACAATTAAAGATCAATTAGTTAATTATATCTTGAATAAATATTTTATCTGGAAACTTTTGTGTTGGATAATCATAAACCCGATATCATCCCGATCCACAGATCCCGATATCATCCCGATCCACAGATCCCGATATCATCCGTGGGAAAGTAGGAGGTTCAGAGCTCCCTTCAACTCCTGACTGGTACTATTACCATGCGGGCAATCGAATAAAAGAATAAATTAATCTGCAGATCATTAAAATATCCTGATCAAGCATTGATCTTGAATTATAAATTTTTTCCATTTGATTCTTTATAACTTTTCGATTGTGTTTTTACATTTATTTGTTGGTTTAATAATTTGAGAAATTTATTGAATTTAAAATTAAGTTTGTTAAAGTTGTGCTTTTCAATATCAATCCCATCCAATTGAGGGGGGTTATTTTAGAGATCAGAGAAGGTTTAATCCTGACAAATGTTTCCTGTTCAGGAAGTCCTTGATGTTCTTAAACCCGAATACTGGTTCTCTGCACATCTGCATTGTAAATTCGCAGCGTTAGGTAATTCAGGGAATTTTTAAGGGACTGGTCTGGTAATTTCAAAAGGTATGTCCGATTCACAACGGTACCCTGTAAACATATATTTCTAAATATTATTATTAGAGTGGAGAATAGTTGCGTTTTTCTAACCTGACAAGTATTTTATATCTTACAATTTCCTCCATTGTTTCCGAAGCAAAAATCTTTCGTCAGTTACGGAGAAGCGAAAAAATTGAAAAAAATAAACTTTCAAAGAGTGAGAGATGGATATTTTATAAATTATAGGATTTTTTATTTATAATTGGTAAATTCCAAACCAAGAAAAAAGGACGTATTAATGATGGGTGAGGGGGGAGGAGCCTTTTACTGGTTAATTTTTCCTTTTTAAACCATTTCTCGGAGAAACATTTTAATTGTCAACTTGTTCCCCCTTGGAGCTCAAGATACCTTCGTACAAGTAGCCCTAGTAACTAGATTCCAAAAACTAGAGCACTTAGGATAAATATGAAATTCGTCCCTTAAAGGGACTGTATAAGACGATCCATGAAAAGATAACAATGTCCGATTCGCAATGGTACCCTTGAAACAATCTAGTCAATAATGTTGAAAATATTGACTTTTTTACCTAGGTTTCTATGTTTTCCTGCAGTAGAGAAACCACATTTGAAAATATATAGTTTTCAAACTTATGAACATTTAAATCAAATTCATACTTGATCAGACAAAGCTTGCAAGGGTACTGATGATGTTAATTGGCATTGCCACCTTTGAATGGAGGGTCAAATCACTAAAAATTACGCTTTCACTCACACAGACTAAAAGTGTTTTTCCCCAAAAATGTATTTCGAAATGTGAAATATATTAATTTAGTTTTTCTATATTTTAGTTGAGCACGAAGACGGTTCAGCAACCAAATTTCTAGCTCTGGATAAATGCCTCCCTGGGTGAGTACATGTTTTGGGGATCANGAGCAAATAAACTTATGAAATTTTCAAAGTTCCAAAATGCAATCTCTTATTTATACCTAGTTTCATTTTCGTGAAACTAACTAGAAAAATCACTTTTCTAAAATCACTAAAAATAGTTTTTTTCCCGAAGAAGTCATAAATGTTTTTTTTTATGATTTTATTCGCTTAATTTGTGAAAATAAATGATTTTTAGGAGAAAATCGATGAAGAATTTTCGGTGAAAAAAATCTAAAAAATAATGATAAAAGTTGCCTTTTGATTTCCCATTTTAATTTTTTTCCCCAAACCATCAAAAATCATTACCCCCCCCCCCCTAATTGAGTTAACAGTTTAGTTTTAAATAAAACTTGAGAGTACACTTCAATTATATGAGGAAGTTTAGTTTTCGGTTTAAATATTTTTAAATTTATTCTTTCATCATAATTTTGATTTCAGGCGACGGTTCTTGCAAGTAGTAGAGTTGGGTGAACCCGTGGGTGAAAACGATGAAATTGTTCTAAGATATGATAAAACATGGCTCGCCGTGCTTAAAAGTACAAATCATCTGACCTCTGTTGAACGAAAAACCAGGTAAATTCTGCTCAGGAACGTACTCAAGAATTTGTCTGGGGGGGGGGGCTTGAACTTTTTTCTTTTTTTTTCTAGGGGGCTCAGCACAAGGGGGGAGTCCTCAATTGGTAATCACATCCACCCAAACGTGTTTTGCGGCATGCGCGCTCCATAATTTGTAATCTCTACACCGCAGCACCCGTCGTGGCCTGAAAATCCCCTGGTAAACATAAATCTTACTGATTTAGAAGGGGGGACTAAGTCCCCATTCCCCCCGTTAAGTACGCCTCTGATTCTTTTCATTGACTTTTTTGCAGACAATAAATTAGTTTTACACATTACACATGGAGGGATGGACTAGAACTTTGTCCGTTATTTAATCTTTCAAGGGGTTTCCACTTTTTAAAAGGTTCAACAAAGATTTAAAATTGTTTAATCTAAACATTTGCTTTCCTAACACGATGTCCAGTTGAAAGCCTAAGAGAAGATATATGCCAAAAAAGAAAACCAATCGTTTTCCGGTTTGTTTAATGTTAATCCAAATAAAAACTACATTATGGTTGTTAGGTATACGCCTGGTCCTGGTAGTAATGAAAGATTTGACTTTCAACCAACAGAAGCAGAAATCCGCGAGATTAAAGAGTTATTCAAAGACGACTTTGAGATACCGTTTAATTTTGAACAGTCTGCCCTTGCCTTCAAACCGACAGGGGCCAGGATTAATATGTCGCAGGTAAATATATTGATCATTTTTCAGGTGTGTATATTTTCTTGAAAATCATTCCCCATCTCGACTCTTCGAAAATCATTTTTGTTTCTAAAGTTTCTATGTTTACCTAAATATGTTCAAGTAAAATAAAAGATTTTTTGGGGAAATTAAATAAACTTTTTGGATAAAAATTTTAAAAAAGTTAAAAGTTGCCTTTTGATTTCAAATTTTTTATTTTTCTCCAATTCATTATTAAATATACAAACTTTTCGGTTTTTATTTTTTTTTCAAAAATTTTTTACAACTCACAACTCATGTGTATAGCTACATTAGATTTGAGCTGATATGCTTGTATGTATTATTTTAGCAATTAAAAATTAAAACAAATGAGATAAAACAGATTTTTTAGGTAAAACAACCTGAGGCGACCGTGAATAGACAGACAACGGAGTTATGTAAGAAGCTTGGAATACTTGATCCTATGGCTTTACTTGTAGGATCCCCTAAAAGGTGAAAAATAATATTGATTGAATAAGTTTTGGAGATTGAGTGAAAACATAAAAATTTATACTCTAGCTGTTGGTTTTTCCTTTTTTTTCAAATTTATATCCAACATTTACAAGTTGTCCAAAATATACATTTTTCCTATTTTCTAGCGATGAATTCCCATTAAAAAATAATCTTACTATGGAATCACTGGGTTTTGAAGTGAGGAGGGGGGAGATTTATTTTTAAGAAACTCCGGCCCTGAAGGAAATACTTTTAAAGGGACTGTAAAGTAATTTTAAATGACCCTCTTTGCAAGTCAATTTTGCAGAGAAACCGCAAATGAAAAAACAGTCTAAAGAAACAAAAACATGGATATCTATTTCATACTTTATTAGATAAAGCTTTAAAGGGTACCGTTGTAAATCGGACATTACCATCTAAGCATTGGGGGTCAGTTGAAATTAAACTTACAGTACCTTTAAGTTAAAAAAAAGAGAATCCGTTTAAAAATAAACGAATTGAGTAAAAAAAATCTGGATTATTTCCTTGATCTGGAAAAATCAACTGATGCTTGACCGTCATTTTGTTTGAACTGTACAGTGTACATACTTTCCAGGTGTACGCCTGGTGTACCTGCTATGTACCTGAGAAACTACGTGAATGAGAAGGAAACTAACCTTAGCATGAATTCAACCTTTAACCCGGACGAAATATCTCTTAACGAGGTAAAGAAATGCTTAGATTCCCCAATTTGCCGCGTATTTTTTGATAGATTTTACGGGGAAAATGTATGTATTTTCTAAACAAAGAAATCTCAGTTTAACTAAAATGCAAATTACTGAAGTTTAACTGAAATGTGATCTAAGGATGATTTTTACTGAAGTTTAACTGAAATGCCAATCTTAGTATGATTTTTACTGAAGTTTAACTGAAATGCCAATCTAAGTATGATTTTTACTGAAGTTTAACTGAAATGCAATCTAAGGATGTACAGTAAGTGATGACAATGATGATAATATTGTTACTTCTTTTTACTGAAGTTTAACTGAAGTGCAAACGAAGGTGAAGTTTAACTGAAATGCAATCTCAGGATGATTTTTACTGAAGTTTTACTGAAATGTAACCTAAGATAGATTTTTACTGAAGTTTAGCTGAAATGCAACTTTGGATGATTTTTACTGAAGTTTAACTGAAATGCAATCTAAGGATGATTTTTACTGAAGTTTAACTGAATTGCAATCTAAGGATGCCTTTTACTGAAGTTAAACTGAAATGCAATCTAAGGATGATTTTTACTGAAGTTTAACTGAATTGCAATCTAAGGATGCCTTTTACTGAAGTTAAACTGAAATGCAATCTAAGGATGATTTTTACTGAAGTTTAACTGAAGTGCAACCTAAGGATGATTTTAACTTAAGTTTAACTGAAATGCAATCTAAGGACGATTTTTACTGAAGTTAAACTGAAATGCAATCTAAGGATGATTTTTACTGAAGTTAAACTGAAATGCAATCTAAGGATGATTTTTACTAAAGTTTAACTAAAATGCAGTCTAAGGATGTACAGTAAGTGATGACAATTATGAAAATAAAGTTACTTCTTGTATTCTTTTTTAATAATTTTGCCAAAAAATAAATTCAATAAATTTTTATTCTATTTTAAGAAAACCCAAGAAAATGATTTTTCCTAAATGAATATTACATCTGACATCTGTATAAAAAACTGATTGAATTCTAAGGATGAAGAAATCGATGATGATGATGTTGATGATGTCCTTGTTGAAACAGTAGAAGAGAAAACTAGTGATTCTTCAGTTCCTAGAACTCCGATCAGGTATGATTTTTGATTGATGCAGGGGTAAAAAGGATAAAAAAATAAAAATATACACCCCTAAATTGTGTGGTCTATTTTTTTTTTATTTGGGGGTTGGGGAGGGGTTTGGGGAGAATAATTAATTGTTGATGGATAAGGGTGATGACAAATTTGACTGGCAAATGTTTCCTACTGTTTGAAACTTTATACCTAAAAATTCGTTTATTTTCTGAAATTTATTGTTGCAAGACCCTAGAATATGTTTCTTTATACTAGGGGATAAAGAGATAGTAGAAGTGGGAGGGGAGGGATTTTTAGATGAATATTTATAAGAATATATCAATACATTTTCCTTAATTTTTCCATTATATATTATTTAAAATTACTTTAATTACATACATGAATGTCTTTTGTTTGAATATTAAAAATGTTTAAATTGTTTAAAATTCTATTTCAGTGTGTTTAAAAGAAAAGAAATACTCTCTAAACTTATTTTTAATCAAAAACGCGTATCGCATAAATTTTTTTTAATGGATGAAACATTGTTTAGCCTGCCAGTCCCTCAGCTAGACAATGATGATGTCGATCTTGTTGCTGTTCTGGATTCTACTGATAAATCAAGTTTGGAAACTGTTCTGGATTCCTCTGATAAATCAAGCTTGGATACTTCTCAGGACAACATATTCTTCATCGGTACGATTAGATTAGATGTTAGGTACTTTCCCAAAGGACTTTCCATAGTGGCAACTTCCTAAGGATATTTTATTTTCCCAAGTGGCAATTTCCCAAATGTGCAATTTCCCAAGCATAAAATTCCCAAGTCTGTCCTACCCCCAGCGATCGGCCCTCATTGCAGCCTCTGGCACCCTAGAGGTCCTAACCTAACGATGGGCGGGGAAAATATAACGCTAATCAATTATAGCCACCTAAAATAAACTAAAAATATATATACTAAAAATATTACCATTATTTAGCAAAAAGAAATAAAAGGTTTTTCGACCACAAATATAACTTTTTTTGACCGAAAACATAATTATTTTCGATCAAAAAAAATAACTTTTTTTGGTTTTTGAATTTTCTGTAGTTATATTATTAGAGTTATATTTTACCCGCTCATCAACCTAACCTTTGGGAAGGTGCACATTTGGGAAATTGTCACTTCGAAGGCCGTCGGGAAAATGCCTTTGGGAAAGTACTGAACACCTTAAATTAGATAGGGAAATACAGGGTTAGCCACAAATAGTGAGATTTAAATAATTACAATTTAAAACTCTTTTTCTTTAACGGTTTTGGACCAGATTTTATGAATAAGAATGTAAGTTAAAGACCTGTAAATGTCGTCTCCAAAGTCGTATCTTTTGTTGATAAACTTTGACTACATGATAATTACTTTCATCACAGAAATGCTTTTTATTTTTATGAATATAAATATGTTAAAACTGTTCTTTGTAGATGTGCCAAAATTTAAAGGGTTACACACAAAGAATAAAACATTTAAGGGCGAAATTTGTGAAATTTTATTTTTCTGTCATTCGTTTGCTCCATGCAACAGAAACTTTTTTCTGCCAAAGAAAGTATTTCAATAAAGGCTAAGTAATGGATCAAATTAAATCAGATCGTCATATAAGTCTTGCCCTTTATCTATTTCCTTCACTCTGTAAATGACGAAAAAAAATTTTTTTGTAAAACCCAACTTAGAAAAAATACTGTTAAATTCCTGAAAATGTAAATTTTTTTAACCTTTTTTGAAAATAAACCTTTTTTTAGATAAGAATCCCAATGAGACGGATTCTGAAAAATCCGCGGATTTTACTAAACCTGATCCTCCAAGAACGCGGCCTGACGATCCTCCGGTTAAAAAGCTGAAACGACGCAATGCGTCGCTTTATTCTGCAGAGGATCAAGATTGATCTCAAGAAACATAAACTTCCATTAAAAAAAGTCAATCCCATAAACTGACTTTTCTTCTTGTGATAAACTGATAACACATACCATTGTTTCAAATACATGAATGAGACATTTTTGAAACCAAAAAAAAAATAAAAAATTATTTTCAGAATTATTTTTAGCTTTAAAATGTCGGCAGAAGTGAATGCTTTGCTTCAGGAGCAAAGACGGATCAATGAGGTGTGTAGGATTAAATTTTCCCCCGCATTTTTTGAGCAAACAAACTTTTACAATTTGAGTTTTATGCGATGGTTGAAGTCATAAGATGTATAGAAGAAATTCTGTGTCTGTACATTTTTCTAAATGTATAACATAAACAAAAATAGTTTTTATATTACTCCAAGGACCCCTAATGAGTTTGTAATAGAAGTTACGGTGGTTAACATAATGCATCTGCATTAGAAGTTTTGTGCTTTTCTTCTGTTAGTAATTTACGGCAGATATAATATATATTGTATAAATCATGTTAAAGAGGTTATTTTCTATTGAAATATTATTTAAAAATATTAACTGCTGAAACCTTTTTTAAAGTGCAATTAACATGAAAATTTAAAAAACTACTAAGCAGGGGCGTATACAGGAATTTACAAGGGATGAACCAACTGAACATTTTCTTTCTATCAGGAGATGATGACTTCTATGCGAGCAATGCAGATGAAGCTGGAGTTGTTAACGGGAGGAGCTGGTAATTCCACAGCAGGAGGAGTTGGAAGCAACTCTGGGACAGGGGCACCAACATCACAGATGCCAGGCTCTCAAATGGGAGGCGCTTTCGGAGGTTCTAACGGAAGCTCTTTCGGAGGTTCCAACGGGGGTTCTTTCGGAGGATCCAACGGGGCTTCTTTCGGAGGTTCTAACGCTGGAAACTGGGGAAATGTGAATTATGGTAACTTTCCTGTTGGAGGAGGTATGGGAGGTGGTTATGGGAGCAATGAGGCGGGGTATGGGATGGCAGGAGGTTGGAATAATATGGGAGGAGGAGGAGGAATGGGATTTCCGAACTTCGGGAACTTTGATAATACTGTAGGTTCTGGAGGTGGGAAGATGAGAGGAGGTCACGGTCCTGGTGGAATGAACAGGTACAAATCTTTGTTAAAGGGACTGTCGTCGTAATTTAAAAAGACTCTCCATAAAAAAGGGGCAAGTACCGTTCTCAATCCTTTAAACCTTTATTTGATCATTTATATAAAAAATATCTCCCACTCTACTGCATGGTTTTTCTTGCAAGAACCCCTTCAAATCACTGTTGCAGAAAACCGCATTTTAAAATATTCAATTTTGAGAAAGAAGAAAAGGAAAAATGTCATAATTTCTCCTTTAACAAAGCTTATACGTATAGGACATGCTCTCTATAAATGGAGATTAAAAAATATCTTACGGAAAATGAAATACTCATTAATGAATTTAAGTTCATTAATTGGGAATACTATGTATGTATATTATAGCTGATGGTCCATACAAGATTGATAAGTAAAAAATAATAAAATATTTCTTTATTTAGGGCTGATGGTCCATACAAGATAAATATGCTGGTTCCTAAAGAGCTCGGAGAATGGGATTGTCCCGAATGCGGAAACCTGAACTGGGCGAAGAGAGAGAAGTGTAACGGTCGAAATGAATCCTGTAAGGTAATTCAGCTCTGCCCGATTTTGTTAAGAATGTTCCTCCCTGAAGATAACTTTTTAGTGGTTTACATGAATTTTTGCCGATTAAGTCATACAATAAATTATTAGAAAAATCATATTAGGGAAAGTTGATGAATATTGAATGTAATGGATTAAACCGTGCATGGATCGGCACTCGAAAGACGATAAAATTGTATACATTTTATTGTCTTTTATTGAGTTGTAAATTAATATCAGAAACTAGGCTTTCTGAGCACGCTTATCTTCGATTTTAACTTTTAATTGTTGCTCTTTTATCGATTTTTTTGTGGATTTTGAAAATTATAATTTTTTTAAAAATTCTAACCATCTATAAACCTTCCCCGGCCCGGAACATGTGAGGTCACCCAACAAATTTTGTCCGTTTTGACGTTTATCGGTTACAAACAAACAAACAAAAACAGACAAACAGACAAGCAAAATATATATACAGTTAAGTTCGATGACATTTTTTTTAATTTGCTTTTTGATAATAAAAAAACTTGAATTTTTGTTTAGGTGACGAAGAAGCCTGAATTTATTCGGCGGGGAGGCGGGGAGTGGAATTGTACTGATTGTGGAAATCTGAATTACGGTCGCCGAACTGAATGCAATGTATGTAAAGCAATGCGACCTGCCAACGCAGGACCAATGCCTCCGATGGTTTCAATGCCCCCCAGCCAGTATGGTCCAGTTGGTCCTATGCATGGAGGAATGGGGCCCCGAATGGGTGGAATGATGGGCCGTGGAGGTCGAGGAGGACAAGATAGACCCGCGGGTGGGATGTCACGACGGACACGGCGTCCAGGGGCTCCTGAACCTCGTCCTGGGGACTGGGAATGTCCACGTTGCTACAATATCAATTTCTCCTACAGGTATATTTACTCCATCTTTTAACCAGCGCACATAGTTAAACGCATTTCCGAAATATTGATAAATTTACAAAATTAAAATTATCTAGGGAGCGATGCAATGGTTCCCGAAAGAATGATACTCTGTGTAACCTGATTAAACCTGCCTTCAGTGAGTACAAGGTCCCTCCAGTTAAAGAGGCCGACAAGTTCTCCGATACGGACTGGGATTGCTGGAGGTAAGTCACCAAATGAAATGTCGTCTTATCATTTCAGAGGAGATTAGTTCCAAACCACGATTTGATCCATTTCTTACACTCGGTGTCTTTCAATCATTAAACAATGGGAAATTCTATTTTTTGGAAAGATATCTTTAAATAAACCAATATTAAGCTCTAGCAATTTAATTTTTGATGATAATGGATTTCCTTTAAATTCAAATTTAAATCAATGTGAATAGTATTTGCACACTTTAAGAGGAAAAATCTAAACAAAATAAAGACTGATAGAAAAATATTTACAGGCGGCGTCGAGAAATTATAATTTAAAATTGGAAATGTTTCAACCAATTCAGTACCTTTTTTTATTTCAGGATCTTTTTGTTGCATATTTTGATTTGTTTTTATTTGATTTAGATGTGGTAATATAAACTTCGCCAAGAAGGAATCCTGTAATAAATGCGACCTAGACAGAAGTAAAGCTCATGACCAAAGTTTGAGGTAAACAAATTATTTAAAATAATAACTTATAAACTTTGCTTGAAAACTGAACATTCTTACTCATTTTAGAAATTTAAAACCAAGCTAAGAACATTCCCATAGCAACCTAAAACTTTTTAATTTGACGATTGGAATTATTAGATTATTATTAAAATGGTGTATTTTATTATTTGTCCTAGAAAGAAACACAGGGGTGACATCATGATTTTTTTGATTGATGGGGGGGGGGGGTTTCAAAAAAATTTGTCTAAAAATTTATTCATTTCCTTCTAAAATTCATATTTTTTCCCCAATTCACCGAAAAATACCCTGAATTTTTTAGAAATATAAATGACAGAAATAACAAATTTTATATTTCAGGGGAGACTACGCTGATTACACGAGTTAATAAGTTCAAATCTTATTTAGTGTTATTTGTTTACAGTGCATATTGTACACTGTACAGTACTGTACAGCTTAAGTGTTCATCTTCGTAATTTTCCGGAGGGGGGGGGGGGGGTAAAAGTTAGCCTCAAAAAGTTTTCCCTTTCTCTATATTTCTTGGTTAAAAATTTGAACAAATTATCTATGAAGAATTACTGAGGGGGAGGGAGTATTTTCAGAGTAAAATGTATCCTAGTTTTTTACTGCAGAAGGCCACATTAAAGCAATCTAAAATTTATTAGATGTTTATCTAAAGCTTTAAGTTTTACAAGCTTTAAAGTCAATTTCTTTCGTAAAATTGGTCTATGTACAGTACACTGCACATTGCACAAGTATTGTGTTTCATGTTCATTTTCATTTTATAACATTGGAAGTTAGAAATGGGCACAAATTTAAAGACTCGGGTTTTAGGATCCTGGCCCATATTGAGAGTAAAAGTCGATAGTAAAAACTATAACCAACATTTTATTAAACATGACAAGGACAGCAATTCCGATTTTCAAACTATTTTCTTAAATTAAAATTTTAAAAGGAGTTCTTTTTATATCAAAACCCTTGACCGTTTTCAAGAAAATGTCAGGTTTTACATTTTCGAACATATCCTGAATTTGAATCGTTGTCGCGTTTTTGAGACAAAACCCACTTTCCCGTTTTTGAGTATAATCCGCAATTTTTAACAAAACTCTAACTCTGAAGTCTATATTAACTGCTGAATTATATTGAGACTCTAAGTTTTCATATTTTATTTGTAAAATATGAAGATAAAGTTTATTTTATATAGTTTCCTGCAAATAAAAACACTCAATTTCCCGCATTTATAGCTAAATCTACAATGCAAGAACAAAATAAAAAAATAACATTTTTAGTTCTCAAAGCCGTAATTTTTTTTTAATTACATAAACAATATGTTTTAATTTTATTTTGTTTACAATTATCTTATCAAAAAATCTAGTTTTGTCACGTAAGTGCGTAAAAACTTGAAAATTGACATTGATGTGAATTCGAGTAATTGTCTCATAGCCAGGATATGTTCAAAAAACGCGACATGCGGTAATTGTTTCAAAATAGGGTAGGTATGTTCGTAAATGAAAACAAGAATCATCAAAAAATAATTATCACACCTTAAATTGACATTTCTTGTTTCAATAAATAGTTTTAACCATTTCTTATTAATGTATGGTACAGTTTTGTTTAACTCGGCTTGGATTTGAAGATATATACGCTTGTAAAAGATTTGGCCCATTTGAGTGTTAGAAATGGGCCAAGTGTTAGTTTTGGAACTAATTTCCTCGGTATTATCATAGCTACCAGACTTAATATTTTTCATATCCTTACTTTGAAAATTTGTTTTCCATTTTGTTCATTTTGTTGTATCAATTTTACACTAGAAGCAGGAATTAAGAGACGATTTCTTAGGAAATAATTGAATTATGTGTTTTTTGTTTTGTTTTTGTTTTTGTTGGTTAATTAGAAAGCTTATCCTATTTACAGATGATCTGAATTTCTTCCCTAAATGTAAAACGTAGACTTTAATTGGTAAAACTGATGATTTTGCAAGAAAAATATAAAGGTAACAGCTTTTGAAAACCATTAAGAATAAAGACCAAAAATATTCTGTACAGTCGTCTACATAAGTATAAAGCCCTATTTCTTTATTTATAATTTATAAATTATGCTTTAATGTTTGAAGTATTGTTGTATATTTATATTTTGTGTGTGCTAAGTATTCGTCCTTTCTTGCATTTTGTCTACCCAAAATTCACCAATTTCCATTGATTTGTTAAGAAAATTCTAATGTATTATTTGATCAATAAACATCCTGATTTCATTATTTAAAGTTTCAATCGTCATGCTCCCCTTTAAGTCTTGTTAAGGGAATTGTAGGGATCGATATATTTTCTAGAATGATGTTTGATGCTCCTCTGGGCAGAAAAATTAAATGAAAAATTGGATCTCTATAGTCTAAATGCAAGTTAAATTCAGTAGGCAATTATAAGCCTCGTAGAAAGGTTTGCGCTCCGCGCTAACTTGTCACTTTGCATGTGGNGCCAGTTAGTTTTCAAGAAACCATAAACCACGTAACTGTAAATTGGGGTGTTTAAGAACATTTTGGTTTGGGTTGAGCCTTCCTTTGATGGTACCAAAAACCAAATGTAATGTTAGTAAGATTTTAGCCATTTTTTAGGTGCAGTACTAAACTTAATATTCTTCTTTTAGTATTTTTTAAAAATTTAATGGCATTGGTACATTTTCAAAAATAAGAAAATCAGAAAATTAGTAAATTAGTAAATTTTTGTAGCTTTCTTATGAAAACTCGTAATTTTAGCTTGAATTTTATGTTATGTAGAATATTTTTTAATTTTTCAACAACATAAGTAATTTTAGCTTGAACTTAATGTTATAGTAAGAATTCTATTCTCCCTGAATTTCATGTTTTGTATGGTCATAGAGAATAGAATATATATTAGAGGGGAATTTAAAGAATCTCTCGGTATGAATTTTTTCAGTCCCTTTCAGCCTGAAAGGGAGTTCAAAGTGTACAAATCATGTAAAAAATCATCGTTTGGAAAGTGGAAGGCACAGAGTCTATGTGAAATGATCATTGGTCAATTATGAAATCAGCCTATATTTCATAATTTGGTTTTCTTTTAACAATGATTTTAGATTTTTTGTAAAATGATATTCCAGGGCCCTGAAGGTTATATAGCATAGTACACCTGCAGTATGGAAACAGTACAACAAAATGGCCGTTATACACTTTTTTCTAGTAAATTCCCCTCTAATATATATTCTATTTTCTATGTGTATGGTACACAGAAAATTTTCATCGTTTTTTTCTCAAATTTTACAATGTTGATGTACAATGTTGGATGACACTAAATGTTAATAATTTTGGTATTACTACTCACGTTCACTGATTTTTGAATTGTCTGGACAAAATGTTGAAACTGAGACAATTTAAGTTTCTGCAAAATTCAAGGAATTGAATTTTGAACATGCTATTTATGTATGTGTTACATTGTATGTTGTATGTCTGTTTATCGACATATGCGAAAGAACAATAAACCAGTTCGATTAGAAAATCTTACCTCAGGACTAATATTTTTCAGAGTAGGTTTTATTTGGTTGGTTTGAGGGAACAGCTTTTTAAACGATTGATTCGGAGTCGGACCCTATATACACTATACACAGAAAGATAACAATTTTTCAAGAAAAGATTATACCAAACAACTTATTTAAAGCAGGGGGGGGGGGGTGCAAATTCGACGTAGCACATCCATTCTGGAACTTGCTTAATGTTCCTATTTTTGTTCCTTAACATTTCTTAACAACCCTTTTATTGTTCCTTAGATTATATATAATTTATTTTTTGTTCTTGCTCTTATGTTCTTGTGCATGTTTAAAACTCCTAGTTTTTTTGATGGTTACTAGCTGGCTCAATAGTCAATGTTCCTTATTTGATGTTCCTAATCTAGTCTTTCTTTTTTGTTCCTGTCTCAACATTTTTTTGTATTTTTCCTTTTTTTAAAACCTATAGTGTTCATAGTTATTTTTTTGTTAACCTTGTTCCTAAAATCCTGAATTGCTTGACTTACCTGTTTTTGTTTTTAATTTTAAGTACTCATCTTCTTACCTATAATTTGATATATCTACCAAGTTCTTTGTTTTTGTATTTAATATTATATAATTCCTTCTTATATAACTTGAAAAAGGGGCAGATCGTGTAAACATGATATTCTGTAAACTTTCAGTACTTTGTACATTATAAATGATTAAGATTGTAAACTCAGACATGATGACATTCATTGAACCTTGAATACTTAACATGATTAGCTTAAATCAGGTGACATACTTAAATTTTGCTATAAAACATGTGCGGAGATGGCTTAACTGCGGCATACCTATTCTCTCTAACCTTATAAATACATGTTACGATGGTGTAATTATAATTGACGAACAAATATGTACAATTTATTTACGATAGTTTAAAATCTTTGATAACTCAAAATATACGAAGCTTTTTAGATGAAAAATTATTATTTGGTCAAAACACAAGAATCACAATGTACTACCATCTTATCAAAATATCAAGTTGAACTGACGAGAAAAATGGCAGACACGGTACTAAGGTAAATTTTAGTAAACTTAACTAGTTCCGTTGTTGCAGTATGAGCTTATTCCCCTCCCGACATCAAGCCCTGTGTAGCACAAGATTGTAGCTGTGTGAATCGTGTCCTGTTTGAGGCATTGAATTTGAACATATTTTAGTAGGAATGAACAAAAGTGAAGTTAGCACAAATAAACATATTTTAGTGCAAATGAACAAAACATGTTCAAACGAACTAAAATTTAAAATTTCACCATTTTGCCCATAAATTATAATTATTTAAAAAAAATATCGGTCCATTTGAACATATTTTTTTGTTGGAAATGTTCATTTGTACTCATGTTTTATTGCACTTATATTATACAGAAGTATTCCAGATCAATTGCCCAATGAGCCCTATTTATCATTTGTACTAAATATTCCTGGCGGTAAAATAAAATTTTAGTCAAATTAAACACAATAAAGCTCGATTATGTTCATTTGCACTTATGAATTAATTAAATGAATTGAATTCCGCTAGAATTTAATAAAGTAGTTCTCCACGTCCTTAAAAAACCTTCCACGTGGATTTTAGTTTGATTGAACAATTGATCCACTATAACTAACCCGAAAACTTAAAAATACGTATGACATGACACATATTTTTAGGTTTAGGAATACGTAAAAGTACGTATGGAAAATACGTAAAATACATATGACATTCATATTTTCGTAACCATTTCTTTGGTAAAAATACATATTTGACAAACGTAAAAATGCGTATGTAAAAAACCTAAAAAATTCAATGAATCACGAATTTATAGGTTTTACCTATACGTAAAAATACGTATTTAATATCTGTAAAACTACATATATGACTTACCTAAAAATGCGTGTGTAAAAAACCTAAAAATCCAATGAATCAGGAATTTTTAGGTTTTTCCTATACGTAGATTTAG